ATAGCTTCAGACATAGAACTCCCTAGTTCCTATTCAAATGATAGTAGGTGTATAAAATACACTTTATCTTTGTCCATTCTATATTCTGGTGCTTGTTCTGTTCTTATTCCTTTTATTGTTTTATAGTGCTCTGTGACCGAAAGATAACTCTTGAGTGGTCAACGGGTCTACTTCTGTTTCTAGACAGGACTGTATCCAAGCTGTTCAAAAACAAGATTCAGCTATTGTCAAAAACAAGAAATGACAAGTGTTGGAGAGGATGTAGAGGAAAGGGAACCCTCCTGTACCATTAGTGGAATTGTCAAGGAGCACAGCCACTGTAGGAAACAGGATGGAGATTCCTCAAAGAAATAAGAAAAGAGGGATCCCTGGGTGGCGCAGCGGTTTGGCGCCTGCCTCTGGCCCAGGGCGCGATCCTGGAGACCCGGGATCGAATCCCACGTCGGGCTCCCGGTGCGTGGAGCCTGCTTCTCCCTCTGCCTATGTCTCTGCCTCTCTCTCTCTCTCTCTGTGTGACTATCATAAATAAATAAAAAAAAAAAAAAAAAAAAAAAAAAAGAAATAAGAAAAGAACTTCAGTATGACCCAGCTATTCTACTTCTGGGCATTTAATCTGAAAAATGTGAAAAAACACTAATTCAGAAAGATATGCATCCTTATGTTCACTGCAGTATTACTTAAAATAGCCAAGATAGGGCAGCCCTGGTGGCGCAGCAGTTTAGGGCCACCTGCAGCCCAGGGTGTGATCCTGGAGACCCAGGACCGAATCCTGTGTCGGGCTCCCTGCGTGGAGCCTGCTTCTCCCTCTGCCTGTGTCTCTGCCTCTCTCTTTCTGTATGTCTCTCATGAATAAATAAATAAAATATAAAAAATAAAATAGCCAAGATATGGAAACAACCTAAGTGTTCACTGACAGATGACCGGATAAAGAAGAGGTGGTATATTATATGATGGTATATACTACTCAAGCATAAAAAAAGAATGAAATCTTGCCATTTGCAGCAACATGAATGGATGGATCTTGATTGTATTATGCTAAGCAAAATAAATCAACAGCATAAGACAAACACCATGACTTCACTCATGTGGAATCTAAAAAAACAAAAAAAAAATCATAAATACAGAGAACAGACAGGGGAAGGGGGCTAGGGTGGGTGATATGGGTGAAGGAGGTCAGCTGTATAGTGAGGGATGGTAACTGGACTTGCAGTGGTCACTTTCAAATTATAGAGCTGTGCATCTGAAACACGTCTATATGAAATGAACTCATAAAAAGGAATTTTATTTCTATCAAGTCCCAAATATCAAAACCTATACAGTGTGTTTATCTTTAGTCTGTTACTTTGAGTCCGGTGTCATTGGCCACATCTCAGAGAACTGATCGTGGATTTTATCTCTGTCCTTAGGCTCCACACCCCTCCATTAATCCAGACAGAGAAAGAGCTGTCAGACAAAGTACAGCTACTGGAGGTGAGACATGCGTGGATTGGGAAGCATTAACTGTCTTGTCCCAAGTTCGTACACGTTGATCCTGTATCTCATCTCCCCAGGCTTTAGGAGACATTGAAATTGCCATTAAGCTGGTGAAGACCGAGCTGCAAAGCCCAGAACACCCGCTGGACCACCACTATAGAAAACTACACTGTGCCTTGCATCCTCTAGACCATGAAAGTCACGAGTTCAAAGTAAGAAAAATGATCACTTATTTTCCTACCTTTAAGACCCATCCCCGGGATCCCTTGGTGGCGCAGGGATCCCTGGGTGGCACAGCGTTTTGGCGCCTGCCTTTGGCCCAGGGCGCGATCCTGGAGACCCGGGATCGAATCCCATGTCGGGCTCCCGGTGCATGGAGCCTGTTTCTCCCTCTGCCTATGTCTCTGCCTCTCTCTCTCTCTCTCTGTATGTGACTATCATAAAAAAAAAAAAAAAAAGACCCATCCCCGTAGCCCCACTGTTCTGTGACCACTTCTGGTTAAGAGCAAACCTTTATGTAGAACAGAATTTCGCTTTACCGGAATCTGGGGGAGGTAGAGCTCTTTCTCACTGTCTGGTGAGACTGTCGGGGAGTGGAGAGTCTACACTCTGGTAGGCCCTGAGGTTCTCCAGCTCAGTCCGGTCTCTTGTAGGGCCCACACCGGCCGTTTCTTTCATTTTCTTTTCACAGGTGATTTCCCAGTACCTACAGTCTACTCATGCTCCCACACACAAGGACTACACCATGACCTTGCTGGATGTTTTTGAAGTGGAGAAGGAGGGTGAAAAAGAAGCCTTCAGAGAGGACCTTCATAACAGGTGTCAGTTTAGCTTTGGGTTTGGGAAGACACCCCTTGCCGGAAGTGCAGTTATGGGACTTCTGGAAAATGCAGGAAATGGCTTTTTTATGTTTATGTCCTAACTGCTAGAGAGCAACAGAGTACAGTAATAATGGCTTTCCCCTAGGATGCTGCTGTGGCACGGCTCCAGGCTTAGTAATTGGGTGGGAATCCTGAGCCACGGCCTTCGAATTGCCCCCCCTGAAGCTCCTGTCACAGGTTACATGGTGAGTAGAAATTGAATCCTGGAAGGAGGCACAAGGGCAGGGGATACAGTCATTTTTTTCCAGTTCTTTTTTTTTCCTTTTTTTTTTCCAGTTCTTTTTTTTTCCTTTTTTTTCTAGATTAGGATTCTATAGTACCCTTCCCAAGAATTAAACCCGCTCATGGATAATCCTGACATTTTTCTTTTTTTTTTTTTTAAGACCCTGAAATTTCTTACTACGTCTCCCTTTAAATTCCCAAAGATTGGGGATCCCTGGGTGGCTCAGCAGTTTAGCGCCTGCCTTTGGCCCAGGGCGCGATCCTGGAGTCCCCGGACTGAGTCCCTCATCCGGCTCCCAGCATGGAGCCTGCTTCTCCCTCCTCCTGTGTCTCTGCCTCTCTCTCTCTCTACGTCTAAAATAAATAAATAAATAAATAAATAAATAAATAAATAAATAAATAAATAAATAATCTTTAAAAATAATAATAAATTCCCAAAGATATCCCTGCATGGAGCCTGCTTCTCCCTCCTCCTGTGTCTCTGCTTCTCTCTGTCTATAATAAATAAATAAACAAACAAATAAATAAATCTTTAAAAATAATAAATTCCCAAAGATATCCAAATAAATAAATAAATATCTTTAAAAATAATAATAATAGATTCCCAAAGATATCCCTCCTACCCCTCAGAAAGCAGAGATTCACCAATATCCCTGCTTCTCTGGTTAGTAATCGCAAGGGGACGTGGAGAAGGGTCTGAATTGTGTTTAAGATCATGGAAACACAGGGTCGGTGGTGCAGGCCTTTCCGACACAGCGGGTTAAGCAGCTGACCTTCGTGTTTGTCTATATGCTCAGTTTGGGAAAGGAATCTACTTTGCCGACATGTCTTCTAAGAGTGCCAATTACTGCTTCGCTTCTCGCGTGAAGGACATTGGGCTGCTGCTTCTATCAGAGGTGAGACAAGCCTGTTTATGATCTCTAGTTGATTATTAGTTCCTATTTTCTAGAGAGAAAAGTCTGACTCCAGAACCGAGAGATTCGCCTGAGAGAACTTGAGGGGGCGACCGAAGGCAATTTCCATCCCATTCCTCTGCAGGAGAAGGGGAAGAAAGTACTGGTGGGATTTGCTGTTTGGCCTTCGAGCCATCCAGTGCTCAGGAGGATGTGGGTGTTCAAAGATCTTCTGCTTTGCAGGTCGCTCTGGGTCAGTGTAATGAGCTGCTAGAGGCCAATCCTGAGGCGGAAAGATTACTTCAGGGCAAACACAGCACCAAGGGACTGGGCAAGACGGCTCCCAGTCCCGCCTCCTTCATCACCCTGTAAGTACTCAGAGCCTGTACGCATTCAGGCTGGAAGACTCCGTATGACCAGACAAGACTCTCCTTTCTTTATTCCAGCTTCTGACCCAGAGTTTTCCATTTGGCAGGAATGGGAGTACGGTTCCCTTAGGACCAGCAAGTGACACAGGAATTCTGAATCCAGATGGTTATACCCTCAACTACAATGAATTTATTGTCTATAGCCCCAACCAAGTCCGTATGCGGTACCTTCTGAAGGTTCGGTTTAATTTCCTGCAGCTGTGGTGAAATTGATATTAAATAAACTGGGTAAGATCTGATCTTCAAACAAGGAAATAGATAATGTTGTACTTTTGGATTTTCTGATCTTTTATGTAATAAAAATAACACAAATCTACCACTGGCTTCTTTGGGCTCGATTTCTCCAAGTGCATATTTCTTCTTATGGTCGTACTTCCTCATTTTCAGGACAGGAGGTACTCATTGCTCTACGTACCCCACAACTAGCTGCAGGTTATGCAGGATCCTATTCCCTCTCAGCTGAATAGCCTCTGCGCATTGGAGGATGCTAATAGACACCGATGGTTTTCCCCATTTAAATCAATTTTTCTGCAAACTGGAGTTTGTTGGGTATTATTACAAGAAGGGAAGAGGCAACAGAGGCTGGATTGTTCCCTTGCTCCCACCCAAATCCTCTAACTTGCCTCTTTCTCCTGTTTACCAACTGCGGACCAGGTCTCCCACCACAGCAGATACCCAAAAGTCTGGAAGCACTTAAAGAGAGGATCCCTTCCTAAGCAAGCTGTTCCGCGCCCCGACGCCGACACCCCCGGCTCATCCTCCCCTGGCGGCAGCGGGAAACCACTGGCCCTGAAGGCCGCTCTCGAGGACCATCCGCGGTGGATCCAGCCCGCATCAGGGTTGGGGTTGAAGCAGAAAACAAACAGGGGCACGTGCATATGCCACTTGCCCCACATCCCCATCAGAGCGCGGGCAAGGGCAGCCCATGGCTCAGAGGCCGAACACCGCCTTTGGCCCCGGCGTGACCCTGGGGCCCAGGATCAAGTCCCCATCGGGCTCCCTGCATGGAGCCTGCTTCTCCCTCAGCCTGGATCTCTGCCTCTCTCTGTGTCTCATGAATAAAATCTTAAAAAAAAAAAACAAAAACACGGGCAGGACAGCACTTGAGGTTTTCTGACACTTTATTTTTAAAATCCAATCGAGAGAGGAGCCGCTGGGATCTTCCAGCCTCGATCCCGAGCACCCGGGGCTGGCACGCCTTCACTCCCAGGCCAGGAAGTACACGTTGCCCAGCGTGTCTCCCACGGCGAGCCGCAGGGTAGAGGCCGGGCCCAGCCAAGGCTCCAGGCAGCTCACGGCCCCTTCACACCGGAAAAGACCCAGCTACACGGGGGACAAAGGAGGGGAGGTGAAGCCCACGGGCCCAGGCCTACCGGCGACCTTGCGTTGCCCTCCCGTCTACACCTTTTATTTGGGGACAGGCTGGCTGCACACCACGGCAGGACAGAAGGACATGGGACCTTGATCTCTTGTACACTCTGGCCAAGTTTCCCCGCGCCGCCCCTTCAGCTTCCCTGTGCCTGGACACACGTACCAGCTGCATACTCGGCCTCTCCCACAGCTTGACCTCTCTGTCCTTGGACGCTGTCACCAGCAGCCCGGGCAGCACGTGGAGGGCTGTGACGGGGCCCGAGTGGACCTTGGAGGGATGGAGACATGCGGTGAGCCTCCCAGCGGCCAGACCTCGAGCCCTCCCTCCCTCCGCCTGCGAGCTGGGCCTCAGCCCCACCTTCCTGCACTGCTGTGTGGTCAGCTCGGTGGGTGGGGACCAGCTCCCCGTGCTGCTGCTGCTGCTGCTGCTGCTGCTACTGCCGCCCCCCTCAGACGGTGCACTCCCCGGGCTCGGGGCCTCCGGCGCCTCAGCCTTCTGCCAGATGTTGCCTGTGGCCCATTCTCCCGCAGCCGTGCCCTGGGCAAGTTTCCAGAGCGTCCCGTCGGCGCCAGCGACCAAAAACGAGGACTCTGCGATTTCGAGGGCAGACGTCAGAGCCAGGCTGCGGATTCTCGGGGCTGGCCTCCACCCACAAGGCATCTCCACATCCAGCCCCCCCCCACCCCACCCCCACACACACACACTCACCAGATTCTGGCTTGGCCTGCGTCACCAACACGAAGGTCCCCCAAGGACTCTCCAACTTCACGGTAAACTCGAGACTCTTTTCAAACTCTCCTGACTCTTTCTGCCTCTGTGAAGACAGGGCTCACCCTGTGTGGCTGACCCCGCACCTACCGCCCAGCCGAGCAGCTGCTTTTGGCCCCGCGCCGCTCAGGATGTCCTTACCTGTAACTCAGACATAGCCACGTGCGTGCATCCCATGCACAGCTCAGGGAACTTTTGCATCTGCGCCCCTGCAGTCAGTGCCCACATCAAGATGCAAACATCTCCAGCGCCCTGGAAACGCCTTCCTGCCCCCTCCCGGTCAATAACCAGACCCCTACGCTAGAGCTAACAATAGTCTTAGTTCTGGGGACGCGGGGGGGGGGGGGGGCTCAGCGGTTGAGCATCTGCCTTGGCCCCAGGGCGTGACCCCGGGATCCCGGGATCAAGTCCCACGTTGGGCTCCCTGCATGGAGCCTGCTTCTCCCTCAGCCTGGGTCTCTGCCTCTCTCTGTGTCTCTCGTGAATAAATAGATAAAAATCTAATATATATATATATATCTCCGAGTTCGGCCACCATAAATTAGTTCTGCTTGTTCTTTAACTTTACTTGAATGAAATCATGTAGCATGTACTCGTTCGTGCCTGGCTTCCTTCACCCAATGCAATGCCTGTCCTGTTCCAGACTCTACTACTCTCGGTGGCAAGACAAGAGAGACGTGGGGGGTAAATAAATGCAATTAAGAAAACTACACTGATGGTTTCCCATGATTTTTGTAAACACGGGAATCCTTTTTTGTGTCAATAAAATCCTACAGGGAAGCCGAACCCTGTTATAGAAGGCTCATAAGTAGAGCTGCTCCAGTGGAAGGAAGAGAAAGGAATTTGGAACCAACGCGTTGCCCTTCCTCTTATCCTTAGTCATGGCCCCAAGGCCTTGGAAGCATCGGTCCAGACAAACATGTTAACACATACTCCGGCAGGACTTACTAAGACAGAAAGGCTTCCCGAGTCCGTCGACTGCAGGACAAACACACCGTAGTCCTGATGGGTAGACAACAGCACAGGGCATTGGGAATAGCTGTCCCTGGTTTCCAGGAAAGACAGAGGCCGAACCTGTGAGCATCCCCCTGTAAGACCCCAGTGCTTCCTTCCACGTGAGCCCCAGGTTCAGGGTCCCCACAAGCCCACTTTCCCTTTAGCTGCAGCCTGAGAGGAAACAGCTGGTTGGCTCCTACCAGATCACAGAGGGAGCATCCCCTGGCTTCATGCACTGTAACCGCGGCCGCGCCTCGGCCAAGATGAGGGAGCCGCCGTCCGGAGCCAGGGCCACAGCTGTCAGGAACCCTAAGTCCTCCTGCAGAACTCGGTTCAGGTGAAGGCTGCAACTCAAAGAAGGTCCACGGGTCAAGAAAGATCCCCCTTAACTGCGCCTCCTCCCCAGGTGTCCGGCTGCCCACGAATTCCTCGGGAGTGAGAAACAAGCACAATCACCTGCCCTACGAACTCTCTTCCTCTCCGTTTTTCTCCCATCAGGACCTCTGTCACGGTCACCATCCTGCACCTGCTCACCTGGGGCTCTCTTACCTCCTTGTCTTTTCTCTCCCTCCTGGCCTCCAGCTGATTGACAGACTGTGGCATCTCCTTGCAGCGCATGCCCAGCTCTCTGTCCGCTCACCCACCACCTGGCCCAGGGCCCACCCTACATCTCCCCTGCACTAGAGCAACCGCCGTGAGGGCAGTCTCCCTGCCTCTACTGTCCCCTTCCATACTACTCCTAGAGTTCTCTTCCTAAACTGCACATAATTATTCTCAAAATCCTTTTTAAGATTTATTTATTTGTTTGTTTGTTTATTTGTTTGTTTGTTTATTTATTTATTTATTTATTTATTTATTTATTTATTTATTTATGATACACAGAGAGAGAGAGAGAGGCAGAGACACAGGCAGAGGGAGAAGCAGGCTCCATGCAGGGAGCCCGGCGTGGGACTCAATCCCGGGACCCGGGGTCACGCCCTGGGCCGAAGGCGGATGCTCAACCACTGAGCCACCCAGGGATCCCCAATTATTCTCAAAATCCTTAACACCATGTCCCGCTTTATCTTTTCAGTCCGACCCCCTGCAGCCCCGCCCTCACTCCCACCAGGAACCCAGAGCCTCGGCTGTGCCCAGGACACACCATGCACACTCACGACTCCTCGCCTATCATCAATGCTACCTCCTCTTCCTGAAGCACCATTCCCTTCCCCTGTGGGTCCGGGAAACTCCTACTCATCCCTTAAGCCCAATCTCTAATAGCAACTCTTTTGTAAACTACGAATTTCTCAAATTCTGGGAACTGTAGCCTCCGTCTTCCTCACAGCACAAGTCCCTCCGCCTACTGCCGGCGGTTTACTTACACGCGTGTTCGTCGACCATGGTTCCTAAGTTAAAAGGTAATTCCAACCTGGTTCCCACAGCCTGGCTCAGAGCTTAGCACAAAGCAGGCACTTGATAATTACTATTTACGTCGACATGACCGGGAGCCGAAAACGATTTCCCAGGGACTTTTTCCCACTTACTAACATCCCGTTGACCTAGTGCAAAGTACGGATGGAGTGATCTGCACAAAATCCTGGGTATGAAACCATCAGCATATCGCGTTAGCCCAGCTGCCCCTTTTCACCTGAACTTTCCGGGCATCGAATCCTCCTGCAGTTCCACTCGCCACTCGCTGACCTTGTCATCGGCACTGAGGACGATCAAGGTGCGCGCTGAGAACCACGTCAGGGCACCGATGTGGCCAGGAGCCTGGGGAGCGTCCATCCATTTCAGGCTCCGTCCTTCCCAGCCAGGCGTCAGTGCGCGGCCCACAGGACCCCGTGGGCAAGGAAGGGAGGCTGCTCCTGCTCACCTGCGCCGTGGCCACGGCCTTAGCTTCGTGCCACAAGGTCAGTTCCCCAGTTCGACTCCCGGACGCTGCCACAGAACCGTCTGGGGCCCAGGCCACAGCAGCGACGGCTGCGGGACTCCTGGGCGCACACGTGTCATCTAGAGGGGGAAGGCAATGATGCCCTGCACGCTGGGCCGCCCTCGCCCCCCTCTTCCATACACAGGCTCGCCCCACTCACCAGCTTCCTCAGGGACCTGCCAGAGCCGAACGGAGCCATCCTCCGAGGCCGTCAACAGGAGGCCTGAGGCCTCCGAAACTGCCGCTGCGCTGATTGGGCCACTGTGTCCCAGGAGCGTGTGTGTCTGCGACACCTAGGAAGAGCGGAGGGTAGCGGCGCAAGGGATGCCCCACCCTGCCTCTGCCCCCCGCCCACCCCGGTCCTTCCAGGGAGCTCACCAGCAGCGGATGCCACAACCGTGCGGCCCCGTCCAATCCGACAGTCGCCACCAGAAGCTCTGAGCCAGACTGCCCGGCTGGTGAGGCACAGAGGCTAAGTCAGGGCGGGGAGGGCGGGCAGGGCGGGGAGGGCAGGGGCGCTCAGGTCCTCACCTGCCCGGGGCTCCAGGGCCGCCGCGCACTGGCTGATAGGTCCGGAGTGCGCAGGGATGCTCGTCAGCTCCACGCCCCGATGATCCCACACTTTCAGGCTCCCGTCTCGGCCCACGGACACCACGTGTGCGTCCTGCCCCAGAGCCCGGGATCAGAGCACCGTTGCCTGAGCAGGGCGGGGGGAGTGTGGCTCCCGCCACCGAGGGGAGGGCTCAGGCTTACGGGCATAGGGGCCGCCCAAGAGGGCCGAGAACCTGGGGCCCCCCCGGCAGCCATCCCGTGTGGGGCCTGCTCCCCATAGCCCCCTGCCTCGATGCCCTCGTCCTGCTCCCATCCAGGCCTGAGCATCTCATTCTTTACCCGCCTCTCGCCCTTGGCAGCGGCTGCCCGGTGCGCCGCGGCCCCATGCGTGCTTAGCCTTGCACCCTGTGAGCCCCCTGCAGCTTCCTCACCACGGCCGCCACGGCGCTCACAGCACTCTGATGACCCAGGAACAGGCCCAGCCGCTGCTGCCGCTCAGGGTCCCACAGCCCCACAGAGCCGTCGCTGGAGCAGGATACCTGCGGAGTCGGAGGCTGGTGATGGGCAGGGGCGCCACGAGCCACGGGCCAGCCCGAGCCTGGATGAGGATGAGGGCGGTGCTGCCCCTCCCCTTGGGCTCCGGCTCCGGGCCTCCCCAGCCTGGCGGCGTCAGCTGTGCCTCTGGGTTCGTCTGCTTGCCCAGCCCTTGGCCGCAGGGCACAGGGTCACAGCCTGGCCTCCAGCACGGGGAGCCCGCACCGTCCCCGCTGTGGGACCTGGGGGCGCTCCCGAGGCTTCGGGCCTGCAGGTCTCCCAGGAGACACAGCCCCGCGGCGCCCACCTACAGGGGTGGCGAGACAAAGCCACGCGGCGCCAGCGAGCTCCGGGCCCCACTCGCACTGCGTGCCAGGAGGCCCACTGAGGCAGGGTCAGGGCAGCCCCACCGGCCCCCCAGCTGCCAGGTGCCGCATGCACGCCCTCGCTCACCAGCAGGTTGTCCCTGGTCCACGCACAGCCGGTGACCCAGTCACGGTGACAGGCCAGGAAGGAGCAAATCACGACAGGGCCTTGGGGCTTCCGCATGTCCCAGCAGAAGAGATTCTGGGTGGGTCCCGAGGGGGGTCAGGAGCGTGGAGGGGACACGCCGGGGCCTCGGCGTGCAACAAGCTGTGAGGGGAGGGGGTGGGGGTGCCCAGGACCCCAGGAGGGGGCTCACCCGGTCCCTGCCCCCCGTGGCCAGCCTGCCTCCGTCGGTGCTGAAGCCGCAGCAGCTCACGGGCCCCTGGTGCTCCCGGAGCTCAGTGCCGCGCGGGAAGTCGGCCTCCTGCAGGGGCAGCGTCAGTGGCTGCCTGGGCCAGAGCCGCACGGGGAGGGCCTCTGCGTGGGAAACGGGAGACACAGACACGGAGAAAGGAAGAGCCCCGCAGAGGGGAGGCGAGGCAGGACCCCGGGCAGAGGCACGTCCCAGGGGGTGAGGGCAGTGGGCAGGGGAGGGGGGGAACAGGGGAAGAGGGCAGGGGTCAGGGGAGGGCGGCGGGCACAGGGGCGGCCCTCACCATCCCCAGCAGAGTTGCCCACCCCTGCTACCCCTCCGCGGCCTCCCTCCTCCACGCCCCCCCCAAGGGCGGGCCCCCCCCCCCCGAGGGCAGGCCCCTCCACATTTCACATCAACCTCTTTCCCCTCCATCTACACAGCGGACTCCCCCGGGGCCGGAACTCAAGGACTAGAGAGGTCACGAAAGGCCCCAGGATGGGGGGGGGGGGGAAACAAACCGCCCAGACTGCTGATGGAAGACACATGCACTTGCAGCCCTTTGACAGTTGTCTGGACCCTGCACGTGTGCATGCAGCACAGGTGCACATGCGGCACAGGTGCACGTGTTAGACAGGTGCGCATGTGGCATAGGTGCGCATGTTGGACAGGTGTGCACGTCAGACAGGTGCGCATGTTGGACAGGTGCACGTGTGGCACAGGTGCGTGGGCGGCTGGGGCAGGGTGTTGGCGCAGGTGCGCATGTCAGACAGGTACATGCAGCACAGGTGTGCGTGTTGGACAGATGCGTGCGTGGCACAGGTGCACGTGTGGCACAAGTGTGCAGGCCACTGGGGCAGGGTGTCGGCGCAGATATGCATGACAGGTGCATGCGGCACAGGTGCATGTCGGCACAGGTGCACGTGCGGCACAGGTGTGTATGTTGGACAGATGCATGTGTGGCACAGGTGCGCGTGCAGCACAGGTGTGCATGTCAGGCACATGTTGGACAGGTGTGCGTGCGGCACAGGTGTGTGTGTTGGACAGGTGTGCATGTGGCACAGGTGCACGTGTGGTACAGGTGCACGTGTCATGTCGGATAGGTACACGTCCGGCACAGGTACATGTCCGGCACAGGTGCACGGGAGGCGCAGGTGCACCGGCAGCTGGGGCAGGGGGGCGGCCCGCCTTACCTGAAGTGGAAGCCAGGAGCTCTCCAGATGCAGCCAGTCCCCACACGGGCCCCTGGCGTCCAGGTAGTAGCCAGAGCGGCCGCAGGGAACATGCCTCGAGGGCCCAGCCCTGCAGGGACCCATCCTCCGCGCCGCTCACCAACACCCCGGGGCTGAGCCACACCAGCGCCCACACGGCCGCGGCCACGGCCCCACAGCGGGCCCCCCGGGAGCCTGCACAACGGACAAGCGCCAGGGTCAGGCAGCGGACGCGCCTCCACAGCTCCAGCCCCCATGGGTCCCCGCAGCACCTGAGGCCACCTCGTAGGTCCTGACGCCATCCTCCCGGTAGCCGACGGCTACCCAATCACCGTCCGGGCTGAGAGCCACGCAGAGAGCCGCCGACAGAGGAAGGGGACCCAGGAGGCCCCGGGGCCGACCCAGGGCCCCGGACCACACCTGCACCTGAGGGCCAAGAACAGGAGCCCAGGTGCGGCACTCGCCCAGGGACAGCCGTCAGCACGAGGGCCCCGCCCCGAGGATTCTGGGGGACAGGGCGGCCCCTGCACCTGCACCCCCCCGCGCCCTCCCCCAGGTCGCCCGCCTCGCGCCTGCGCCCGCTGACCTCGCCATCCTCGCCGGCCGTCACCAACTGGCAGCCAGCCTGCAGGGGGAGCACAGCGGCCACCACACCCCGATGTGCAGGGAAGGCGGCCAGCCGCGCCCCCTCCCGCCAGGACCACAGCTCCACTGTGCCGTCCAGCCGGCCTGCGGCCACCACCCGCCCAGGTGCCTGGAAAGCCAGGGCGCGGACGGACGCCCCCGGGGCCCCCAGCTCCTGCGGGAGCAGGTGCACAGTGACGTGTCAGGACCCGCCGTCCACCCAGCCCCGTGCCCCATGCCCCCTCCCCGGGCCCGCGGGGCCTGTCACCTTGGCAGCTGTGAGCCCGTCCACGCCGAAGAAGCTGCAAGTGCCCGCCCAGCTGCCAACAGCTACCACGTGCCCATCGGGGTGGAAGGCGGCGCAGTTCAGGGGCCTGGCGCACGTGTGCTGGAAGGCCAGCTGCCCGCGGGCCGTGTCCCACAGCTGGAGGAGCAGAGGGGACAAGGCCAGGTGCCGGGACTCGCACCTGGGCTTCTCCGCCCCGGAGGCTGCCCTGTCCGGCCCCCCGCCGTCCACAGACCTGGGCCCCCCCAACCGGCCTGGCCTGGGGGGCCGCCGTGTCGCCCCAGCCCCTGGCGTTACCTTCAGGCACCCCCCCAGGCACACGGTGGCCAGCAGCCGGCGGTCAGGGCTTAGGCAGCAACCGGTGATTTGGGACTGATGAGCGCTGGTCTGGAGCACCCTGGCGGGAGGAGACAAGGGTCGGCCTCCGCCACCCGTGGCCGGAGAGGACCCCACTGCAAGGCCCGCCCGGGCGCCCTTACCGGCAGCCCTGCTGCAGATCCCAGAGCTCCAGGAGCCCGTCGAAGGCAGTGAGGAAGAGGGCGCTGGCGGAGAGGAAGGCGCAAGAGGAGACCCCGTCGCAGCCGCTCACCAAAGATTTCTCCTCCTGTGCCAACGAGCAGGGGCGCACACTCGGACCCGACCTCCGCTGCCCGCTGCGCAGGCCAAGCTCCAACCAAAAAGGAGGCCAAGGCGAGAAGGGCGGGGCCAGTGCGCCCTCCGGCCCCACCTCAGGAACACTTAGAAACGTGAGGGGCTCTGAGGGCGCCTGGGGGGCTCGTCAGTTCACCCTCCACCTCTGGCTCGGGGCATGATCCTGGGGTCCTGGACAGAGCCCCCTGTCCTGCCCCCTGCCCAGTGGGGAGTCTCTCTTCCCTCTCCCTCTGCTCGTGCTCTCTTTCTCTCTCAAATAAATAAATAAAATCTTTAAAGAAAAAAAAAAAGTGGAAAGCTCTGGGCCCCCCTCCAGACACAGGCCAAGCTCAGGCTCCAGGGGAGCCCCATCTCCTCGCCTACTGCAAACCGCACCTGTATCCCCAGGTCACAGACCTTGACGGGTCAGAGGAGGGAATGACGTTCCGCACATGCACGTATGTGCGGTAGCGGGGGGCACGCCCGATATGGGGGGGGCACCCGTGCTGCCGTTGTCCCCAGCAATCCCCTGTGCCGTCCCCCCAGCTGGGATGGCGGCCCTCACCTGTCCTGGGCTCACCAGTCAGTAGCCTACACTCTCAGCTCTCATCTACATCACATGGCTGAGTTTTGGCTCCTTTTCCCCTCCTATATTGTATCTTTTGACAAAAACGCCCATTGCTGGGCAGACAAGGCCCCAAGCCCGGGCTCCCTGCGAGGCCCAGTACGGGCAGAGCCTTGGCACAGCCTTGAACGGAACAGGTGCAGCACAGTCGGAAGGCAACAGGGATTCAATAACAAGCCTTGATCCGATGTGAGGGGGGAAAGGGGCTGAGTGCAGCGGGCAGCTGGGGGGGGGGCACGTGGGGCCGCCTTGCCTGAGGCCTGCGGGGGTCTGTGGGGCCTCTGGAGGCAGTCGACCCGCCCTCAGTGTCCTACCTGCCAGGTCCTCAGGTCCAGCAGGTAAACCATCCCATCGGCAGTGCCCACAGCAGCCCTGTGCCCGCTGGGGGACAGGGCCACCGCCGTGGGGGATGAGGGGACGGCCAGCGACAGCCTGGGGCTAGAAGGGCCAGAGAGAGGGAAGAGACAGGGAACTCAGGAAGGAAGTGAAGGAACTCAGGCTTGTACTCCTGTGCTTGAAGGCCCCTCCGCGCTGGCTCCGGGCTGCCCGCCCCGCTCCGGTCGCAGCTGCAGCTTGACCTCCAGCGGGGCCGCCAGCGTCTGGCCCGGGCTCACCTCGGCTGGCCCTGCACGGTGCACGGTTTATTAAGCCACCGCAGCACGTGCTGCAGGCGCCATCGCCCAAAAAGCTGTGGGGCCTGGCGGCAAAGAGGCGAGTCCGGAGGCTGGTTGGCGGCCTGCTGGGGCAGGAGCAGCGGGTAGCGGCCGAGGACTGGAGCCTGCTGTCTCAGGAATGCGTGAAACACGGCAGGGTCCGTCTCACAGAGACCCTGCTCCTCTGCAGGGCCCGAGGAAGCTGCAGGAGAGATGCAGAATGTCACTGCAGAGCCAGCCCGGACCCCCCTAAGCCTCAGCACCAAAGACAGTCGGATGATGTGTCTAAAGCGTGAAGTCTTGAGGTCTTCCGGCCCCACATCAGGAACACCCGTTAGAAGTACAAAGCCTCAGGCCCCACTCCGGAACTAGGGAACCAGAATCTGGGGACCAGGAGACCTGCAATTTGAACATTCCCAGGTAATTTTAGACCCGTTAAATAAAGCTTGAGAACCTATAGCCTAAGAGATCTGGGCAGAAGGTCCCCCTGAAAATCACCCACCTACCCTCTTGCACTTCCAGCCTGGAACAGAAATTTAATGGTTGTTTGCATTACACCCCCAGCCCGCCCCTGTGCACACACCCAGGAGCCCCCTATCTCAGAGAGGCCACCTCCTCATGTATCTCACCGTAGAGGGCATGGGCCTCCAGGAGCCGAGAGACCAGACCCAGTTCTAGGTGTGCAGCCACCACGTGGAGATTGGTGAGGAATTTTGCAAGAAGGCCATGGTTCCCGCTCTGGAGCTGGGAAGGTCAGACTGGACTCATTAGGGTGTAGAGAGGCAGGTGAGGAAGAACAGTCTAGTTTTAGATCCTGCCTGTGCAGCCAAGACCTCGACCCAGAAGCTGGACAAAGGGCTTGAAGGGAAAGGGCGGGAAAACCGGGTGGAGAAAGGTAGAGATGGCAGTGATGGTGGTGATGGTGATGGCAGTGGTGGTGGTAATGACAGTGGTGATGGTGGTGTTGGCAGTGGTGGTCCAGGGGACGTGGGGACTAAGGTGCCTGGGAGCTGGAGACTAACCAGGTGGTGGGGCAGGTCGGCCAGAGCCTCAGGAAGGCAGCTGCGGAAGGAGCCCGAGGCATCAGGGTCGCACGTCTTCCAGAGCTGAGCTACAGGCGTGGGTCACGGAGCAGACATGGAGACTAATGAGCCCCAGAGCATCTCCCAAGATCGCACCCCCCAGGCTGGCCGAATGGGAGCACCAGGGGGTGGTCCTGGCCCCGGGGGGGGGGGGAGGCCCCACGCGCGGTGCCCTGGCCAGGGCAGGCCAGTCCTGGCCGTCATCACCTGCTATGAGGACGTGTGCGGTCTTCTGCAGCCCCCGCCTCTTCCCGTATCGACACTGAGCTGCCGTCCTCAGGGGCCCAGCAGGAAGGCAGAGTCGGGCACCAGCACGTTCCAGGGGCCCCTCCCCCAGCAGACTGTCCTCACGTGAGGGAGGGGGGGGGGGCAGGGGAGGCTGTCAGTAAGCAGCCGGCATAGCCAAGGGCTCCCATCCCACCCTGCAGGGCGGTAAATCGGGTGGCAGCTGTTTGGGGGCCCGGGAGACAGGGGTCGGGGCCACAGCCCAGGATGGGTAGGATGGAGAAAGGATCTCGAGGATGAGAAGGGAAGGTACGGGGATTGGTGGGAGCCGAGCCGGGGGCAGGTGCACCTGCGCAGACTCTGGACGAGGTAGGCAAATGGGCCCATGGGGTAGGCGTCCCCACTGCTCCCAGCGGCTACGGCCTCTTCCCAGCCCTCGGCCCCGCTAGGAAGCGCGCGCCACGCGCTCAGCACCGCGTGCAGCTGCTCCGCAGTTAGACCTGGAATTGCAGTTAGACCTGGAATCGCAGCTCTCTGAGGCTCTCGAGCACACAGCACACCCCTCCCTGACACCTGCTGCCCCCACACGGTCCCGGAGACCCCCCCACGCTCTCAGGCCCCTCGGCCCAGAGCACGGACCACTACGCGTGGCCTCCAGGGCGGCCAAGGCTTGGGGAAGGACATCGGGGCCGTGCTCTTGCTCCAGGGTGCCCAGGATGTGCTGCAGCAGTAGGGGGACAGTGGCGGGCAGGGCCCGGAGCCGCTCGGACACCTGGGAGAGGAGGAGCCTGGGCTTCAGTCAGTGGGGCAGCGGGGGGGGGGGGGGGGGGGGGGGCAGCTCTTGTGGGGGGGCAGTGGGCAGCAGGAGGAACCATGTGAGAGGGTGGAGAAGGGGAGAGAGAGAGCGGGGGCGGGGGGGGGAAGGGGGGCAGAGGGGTGGGGGGAGGAAGCTGCCCTGGCATCAGGGCGGAGCAAACCAGGAGGCGTCCCCGCAGCCAACCTGCTCGTGCAGCGCGTAGAGCCTCAGGTGGTCGGTGACCAAGCGCAGGTACAGCGGCAGGGAGGACCCCCGCTTCACCAGCAGCAGCTGCATCTGCCGGCGCAGGGGCCTCAGCACGGGAAGCAGGCACCTGCCCCCCAGCCCCCGCCCCACTCCACCCCGACGCCACCTGCTGGGCTCCTTCCCCCCATGGCCCTGCCAGCCCTGCTCCCCAGAGGTTGGGCCTGCCCCAACCGGACAAGGACCCCCAGTCACGTCAGGGGCAGCTGCCCCTCCCCGGGCCCCGTTGGAGGTGAGGAGCGGGGCTGCGCGGGGCCCACGTCCAACCTGGTTGTTGAAGGGGGACTCCTCCAGCCGCTTCCCGTACAGAGCCAGCTCGTCTCTCACCAGCTGGGCCCGGGCACGGGGCTGCAGAGGCCCCAGGGCCACCACTCGGGCCCCTGGGCTCTGCCCAAGGGTCTCAGCCAGACCCCCCTCAGCAGACACGCTCAGTACCAGGTGCACCCGCTGTGATATTTGGGCAAAAGGAGGCGGAGGTAGGAGGACAGGGAAGGGCCTGGAGGCCCCCCTCACCGGTGTGTCGCACCCCCTCCCCAGTGTGTCGCACCCCCTCCCCTCATACTCACCGGGGGAAGGGTTTTCGGGATCCAGTCTGAGACCTGCTGGCCCTGTGGACCCGCCAGCCTGTCAGCCCCATCGACGATCAGCACCAGGCCCTGGCCAGCCTTCGGGGACTGGGCAGACGCGGGCAGCAGTCTCTGCTGCAGCTCCCACACCAGGCCCCTGCATGGGGGGGGGGGGGCAGGCCCAGGTCAGCAGGACACGGGGGCACAGGTGCCGTCCTACGGCCTCAATAGGCAGGGGGGTGGGGGAGGGACACACACCGGTAGGAGGTAGGGAGGGCACCCGGCTCACACAGTTGACGACGCAGGTAGGCGCAGAGGCGTCTGAGCAAGGTGAGGGCGAGGCCCTGGTCCGGGCGGGCCCCCGAAAAGTGGAAGAAGACCCTGGGGGCCTCCTGGGCCCCATCGGGAGCCTGCAGGGCTGACACCAGGGATGCCTGCGTGGAAAGCGAGGACACAACGTGGTCAGTGTTCCACGCGCAGCTCCCAGAGGCCGCCCCGCCCGCCCGCCCGCCTGGGCTCCAAGACCGCGCACCAGGAAAGCCGTCTTGCCCTGGCCCGACCGCCCGGTCACCAGGCTCAGCCCCCCCCGGGGCAGCGTCAGCTGCTGCATGGTGTCCCGGAGCAGGCGTGGCCGGGCGGGACTCGGCGGGGTCTGTAGCTGCTGGAACGCAGCCTGGACCGAGTCGTCCTCCGGGGTGGGCGCTGGCTCTTCCGGCTGGGCCCCCGGCTGAGGGCATGCGACGGGGACATGGACAGTGTTTGCACGCCCAGGAGCGCTGGGCCAGAAGGCCCCAGGGCCCCCAACCCCCCGCCCCCCCGCCCAGGGCACTCCTGCTGACCTGTAGGTAGAGCTTCTGGATCACGCTCCACACATCCTGCAGAACCAGCTGCCCAAACTCCTCCAGCCCCGCGGCGTAGGGCCGGCCAGCTGCCACCCCGCCCCACTCGCAGGGGTAACTGCGGGCAAAGCGAGCACAAGCAGTCAGAGTGGGCCTGGCCCCCCTATATCTCCCTGCAGGGCTCCCCCCACAGCCCACCTGCGACAGGTAACCCCTTGCTGTCTGCTCAGAAAGCTCTTCAGTTCGGCGATCCGACGTGCAGCTTCTTCAGACTCAGAAGTAAAGTCGGATTTCCAAGCATCTGGCACAGAGCTGACCCCCAAAGACACCCCAAGGGTGGAGCTCCGCTCAGACCCCGCCTCTCTTCACCCCCAGCCATCACACCTGCCCACTGTCCCCGAAACCCCACCAACGAGAAGTCGGGCTCTGGGGCAAGGTTGACGGGGGGGGGGGGCGGCCGCGGGCGCGCTCTCCGAGCCCTGTGTCCCCCGCGTCCCCCCTCCGCCGCCCCAATGCTGGGAGAGCACTGAGGCCCAGGGGCGACAACAAGCACCTGAGGAAGCTGGAGTCCCGCAGGTAGATGAGAGCCTGGGCAGACGGCTGCAGGCGCCGCGCCCGGTCCAGGAACTGCATCACCTCCATCTCTGTAACGGAGCGGCCCGGGGGGTACTGCTGCGCCTGCGGCCAGAGGGGGCAGGGGTCAGTGCCCGGCCCACTGCCCCCGGCCTCGAGCCCCAGGGCCCCTGCAGGCCAGGAACGTCCCCCCCCAGACACAGGCGTGGAGGCACAGCCGAAGCTCACATGACTCCATGCCTGGCACGTGCCCCTTGGCCGACGGAAAGCGACTCCTCGGAGGAGGCCCCCCCGCGCCCCCTGAAGCCCCCCGTGGCCCCGGCCTGCCTCACCCAGCGGAAGTGAGGGTGCTCGGGCAGGTTGTAGTCAGCGGGGACGTAGCCATAGCGGGAGCCCAGGATGCCCACGAACAGCTGCGAGCTCTCCACCTCCCCGAGGCACACTTCCAGCTGCCTGCAGATAAGGGCGCCAGCCTGGCTCACCGTGGGCACCCCGAGCAGCCCCCCGCCCCCTGCGGCCTCCCCGCAGCCGGCCCTCACCTGTTCCTGCGCGTCTCCTCCTCCGGGATGCCCCAGCGCAGGTCGACGGCCCGGAGGCCCAGGCGGCGGGGGGCGGCTCGGGCCTGCAGGGCGGGCAGCACGGCCCTCAGCAGCAGGTCCCGCTCCCCGTGCATGTCCCGGAACGTGGAGGAAATGAAGAGGCGGACGCTGCGCCACCTGTGGGGGCGGACGAGTGGCTGGGCCCAAGCACAGGCCCGCCCGGACGGCGACGGCAGGGCCAAGGCACCGGAGCTCGACCCCGCCTGCCCTCTCACTCGCCTTTGTCGGCGCTTCTTAGAGGCCTACTACCCACCCCTGGTGCGCGGGTAAATAAATAAATACAACCTTTTTATTAAAAAAAACTAAAATTTGGGGCAGCCCGGGTGGCTCAGAGGTTTAGCGCCACCTTCAGCCCAGGGCGTGACCCCGGGTCCCGGGATCGAGTCCCACGTCGGGCTCCCTGCATGGAGGGGGACGCACCCTCCGTGAGCAGCAGCAGCACCTCCACAGCCAGGACTGCGGCCGCCCGCTCGAGCCTCTCCCAACTCACAGAGCTGTAGAAACGTGCACTAACCCAGGCGGGGAAATTGGGGCCGGGGGGCTTAAAGTGCTCTCTTCCAGCGGCCGGAGGGACAGCTCCCCTGTCTTCCCTGGGGGCGGCGGTATCTTGAATATTTTGTCCATTTGGCCTACGTGTTCTAGAAGACGAGAGGCCCCACGCTCTGCGATGAACCTGACATAAATGTGAGCAAATAAGAGCAAAGAAAAGGGGTGAATCCGATCTCTCAAGGGGGCAGAGGATGGAGATAGAGCTAGGGACGGTCCCCCAGTTCCCTGGGGCTTCTCGAGAAAAGACCGTAGAGGGCGGGTGTGGACTTAAACCTGCGGTTCCCCCGCAGGGATGAAGCAGAGGACAAGGAGGAGGAGTGGGGGTGAGGCTCCCTAAAGCAGCTGGGACAACCGGGGCATACAAAGGAAAAGGCAGAAAAATAAAATAAAATAAATAAATAAATAAAATAAGGGGAATCCCCGGGTGGCTCAGCGGTTTCACGCCTGCCTTTGGCCTGGGGCGCGATCCTGGAGACATGGGAACGAGTCCCACGTCAGGCTCCCGGCATGGAGCCTGCTTATCCTTCGGCCTGTGTCTCTGCCTCTCTCTCTCTCTCTACGTCTATCATAAATAAATAAAAATAAATCTTTATAAAAATTAAAAAAATAAAATAAAAAGGAAAAGTCAGGAGAGAGGACAAGTCAGTGAGACGGCATGGAGAGCACGAGGAAGACGACTGCCATGAACGTGCCGTCTGGTGATAATTCAGCGCCCGGAGATCTCTGGGTCAAGAGGGGAACAGAGGCCACGACGAATGAATAGAAACAACGGGACCAAGTCCTGAGCTGCTCCCTTAAAAGCAAACGGTGCAACGCCCCCTGTCCCTTTCCCGTCTTCCTTGTAGATGTAACACAAAAACAAGGGCCGGAGCTGGAGCAGCTCTCTTGAGCCATGAGGCAGAAGCAGAATGTTTGAGGACAAAGGAGCCGTGAGACACGAGGGCCCGGGTCCCTCTAACACTGTCGCTGCAATGGCAGGACAGCTGCAAGGGCAACGGGCTTCTCTCTCATTTGGAAAGAGACACGCATGGCACACAGGCCAGGTAGTCTCTGAGAGGTGACCTAACAAGCCCCCAGCCCGCTCGGTGCCCGTCCCGTACTCACTTCAGGATCCCGTCACTGTAGCCTGAGAGCGTCACGTCGTTGGGGTTCGAGTCGGCTAATCTGGCAGAAACCGCAGCCACCCATCAGAGGCAGCACCAGCAAGAGGCACCGCTGTCTAGGATGGATACCCCGCCCCCACCTACGACCAGGGTCACGTGGGTGACGGGCTGGGCTGGACCCTATGGAGGGGCCTGGGGAGGTCGGCCTCGCACCTGAAGTGCAGGAGTTCAGGGGCAGACGCGGGGACGTGCCTGCTGAGTGGCGGCGTCCCAAACTCGAGTGGGGGCAGGGGAGGAACTGCAGAAACCATCCTCTGGGGCCAGACCCGGGTCGGAGCATCCTTACATGTTGTACGTCCTTTCCAGGGGGACAGAGACGAACAGGCACTTGGGATTCACATGCTGCCAGAAGAGCTGCTTGGCCTCATTCACCAGGCTGCCGTACATGGTGTTGCCGAACAGGACCACCCTGTCCAGCTGCGGATGCAGAGGAAGGCGCTGAGGCCGGGGAGCAGAGGGCAGGGGACGCTGGGGCTCGGGACGTCAGAGCGATCTCGGGGACCAGGACAGCTCTGGGGGTGGACGTCACCTCCCCAAGGGGCGTGAGGGTGGGGGAGCCTCTGCACCCCGACAGCGGGGCGGGGGGTGCTGTAGCCGGCTCTCCCGGCCGCGGCAGCTGCTGCTACACTGTTGGGAATTTCGCGAGCCAGCTGTCAAGCCCAGCCACTATTAAACACTAAATCGTATAAATTTAAAATAAATCATATTAAAAATGAAGGTGACAGACGCTGAGGCCCTCATATCCTAGTCGCCGCATCTCACACTGAGCCTGACACTAGCCCATGCACGCTGTCCACGTGCTGCGGGGCGTCACGTCCCCGCCCTGCCTGCACCGTCGTGTCCGTCGCCTGAACTCAGCAGCGAGAGCAGGACCCACGCCGCGGAAATCCACGAACGCTACTAACCAAGCCTGAGTTTTTCCAGCGAGCCGGTTGCCAGACACTCGCCGGCGCGGCACCGGCAGGGAGCTGCAGCCAGCAGGGGCAGAAAGCGGCCTCTGAGGGGTCAGGGCCATCACTGGGGGGGTAGGGGGTCCCCAGGATGGGAAGCACTCACAGGGACCCTCTGGGAAGCCAGAGACAGCAGGTACTTCCCGAAAGTGTGCACGGACCATTCACCCTCCTTATTCAACTCCTGCAGGAAAGAGTCTCGCGTCCTTGGTGGCCCGGGGTCCAGGCACGGGGTACGGGGCACGGGGCACAGGGCGTGGGGCACGGGGCACCAGGGCATGGGGCACAGGCACGGGGGATGGGGCATAGGCACAGGGCACAGGGTATGGGGCACGGGCATGGGGCACAGGCACAGAGCACAGGGCACAGGCACCCCGCAGGTGGGGGGGGGGCTGACCTGAGCCTGAGCCTGAGCCTGGAGCACGCTGGCGGTCCTCAGGACACCTTCCTCCACCCTGGCGTCAGCGACCATCACGGTGCCACGTCCGCACAGCAGGACGGACACCTGCTCCGCCCGGGCCATCACCATCCCCAGCAGCAACAGCACGTAGTTCAGGGGGGGCTGGTGGGACGCACATCACGGTGAAACATGCTCACCACCCCCCCTTCTTTCAGGCAAGCTCCATGCCCAATGTGGGGCTTGGCCTCCCCACCCCGAGCCCCGAGCTGCATGCGGGCCAGGTGCCCGGCTCCCCATTTGGGACCCTGCCTCTGCCCCTCCCGCCTGGAGCCCAAACACCTCACCGGGTGGGGAGAAGGGTCGAAGGGCCCCGCCAGGAGGGGCGGCCCCGCAGCCCTGGAAGGAAGAGCAGCCCGGGAGGGAGCAGCCTGGGAGGAGGAGCAGCCTGGGGGGAGCGGCCCAGGAGGGAGCAGCCTGGGGGGAGCGGCCTGGGAGGGAGCAGCCTGGGAGGAGCAGCCTGGGAGGAGGAGCAGCCTGGGAGGAGCAGCCCCGGGAGGAGGAGCGGCCCGGGAGGGAGCCGCCTAGGAGGAGTGGCCCAGGAGGGAGCAGCCTGGGAAGAGGAGCAGCCTGGGAGGGAGCCGCCTGGGAGGAGGAGCAGCCTGGGAGGAGTGGGCTGGGAGGAACAGCCTGGGAGGAGTGGGCTGGGAGGAGCAGCCTGGGAGGAGGAGCAGTCTGGGAGGAGTGGGCTGGGAGGAGCAGCCTGGCAGGAGTGGGCTGGGAGGAGCAGCCTGGGAGGAGGAGCAGTCTGGGAGGAGTGGGCTGGGAGGAGCAGCCTGGGAGGAAAAGCAGCCTGAGAGGAGTGGGCTGGGAGGAGCAGCCTGGGAGGAGTGGGCTGGGAGGAGCAGCTGGGAGGAGGAGCAGCCTGAGAGGAGCGGGCTGGGAGGAGCAGCCTGGGAGGAGGAGCAGCCTGAGAGGAGTGGGCTGGGAGGAGCAGCCTGGGAGGAGTGGGCTGGGAGGAGCAGCCTGGGAGGAGGAGCAGCCTGGGAGGAGTGGGCTGGGAGGAGCAGCCTGGCAGGAGTGGGCTGGGAGGAGCAGCCTGGGAGGAGGAGCAGCCTGGGAGGAGCAGCCTGGGAAGGAGCAGCCTGGGAGGAGCAGCAGCCTGGGAGGAGCGGGCTGGGAGGAGCAGCCTGGGAGGAGGAGCAGCCTGAGGAGCGGGCTGGGAGGAGCAGCCTGGGAGGAGTGGGCTGGGAGGAGCGGCCTGGGAGGAGGAGCAGCCTGAGAGGAGTGGGCTGGGAGGAGCAGCCTGGGAGGAGCAGCCTGGGAGGACTGGGCTGGGAGGAGCAGCCTGGGAGGGAGCAGCCTGGGAGGAGCAACCCCGGGAGGAGGAGTGGCCCAGGAGGGAGCAGCCTGGGAAGAGGAGCAGCCCGGGAGGAGCGGCCCAGGAGGGAACCGCCTGGGAGGAGGAGCAGCCTGGGAGGAGTGGGCTGGGAGGAGCAGCCTGGGAGGAGGAGCAGCCTGAGAGGAGTGGGCTGGGAGGAGCAGCCTGGGAGGAGTGGGCTGGGAGGAGCGGCCCGGGAGGGAGCAGCCTGGGAGGAGCAGCCCCAGGAGGAGGAGCAGCCCGGGAGGGAGCAGCCTGGGAGGAAGAGCAGCCTGGGAGGAGTGGCCTGGGAGGAGTGGCCTGGGAGGAGGAGCAGCCCGGGAGGAGCGGCCCAGAGGAGCAGCCCGGGAGGAGCTGCTCGGGAGGAGCTGCCCAGGAGGAGGAGCAGCCTGGGAGGAGCAGCCCTAGGAGGAGGAGCGGCCCGGGAGGGCCCTGGGGTGCAGGGAAGTAAATGGCAGGCGCCCTCGGGTGACAGAAATCGAGAGAGAACTGAAGTCAGCCAAGCGGGAAGCACAGAAGCGCCACCATCCATGAGCAGGCCACGTCCTGGGGACCATCCCTGGGAACCCGGGCCCCACCCCAGACGCCAACCAGGCCACTTTTTTCAGTCCAGGCACTTCCCTCGGAAGACCACGTCTGGGAACAGGACAGCTCTCAGGGCCCCCAGCATCGTCCCGACCCCCACCTTATGATTGTTATTTTTACCCCTTGGGGGTTGCTCTTCGGACACAACTCGTCCGTCCCGACATCTGTCAGGTAGGCCAAGAGGGTGCGGCCCGGCAGCGGTGGCAGGTTGTGCTTCACGGAGATGTTCACAGCCGTTTCCAGGGCCTGCCGGTACCGTGCCAGCAGCTCGCCGGCACATCTGCCCCGTCTGTGGGCCGAAAAGACAGACAGCAGCTCGGGGGCTTGCCCCCTGCGTCCGCAGGACACGCACCCCGGGTCGGGTGCCCCCTTCCCCAGCCCGTCTCCACTGCGGAAGGCGGGACTGGGGCAGGTGCCCGGCCCCAGCATACGGGACACGTGGGACCCCTGCCCATGGCCCAAGAGGACCCACTCTCTGACATCGTGCATCACTCTTGCCACTTACTTCAGGAGGCAAGATTTAACTGCCACCTATTTTTTAACTGTATTTTTTTTTAAGATTTTATTTATTTATTCATGAGAGACACACAGAGAGAGAGAGAGAGGCAGAGACACAGGCAGAGGGAGAAGCAGGCTCCCTGCAGGGAGCCCGACACGGGACTTGATCCTGGGACCCCGGGGTCACGCCCTGGGCCAAAGGCAGGTGCCAAACCACTGAGCCACCCAGGCTGCCTATGATAATGTTTTTAATCTAAGAAAATCCAATATTCTCTACCAATGTTACCCAACAGAATTAAGTCACAGTTAAAGAAAAAAATGTGACGGGCACTGAGGGGGGCACTGGGCAGGATGAGCCCTGGGTGTTACGCTCTATGTTGGCAAATCGATCAATTAAAAAAAATTTTTTTTAGTAAAAAAAAAAAAAAGCAAACAGGTCAGGAAATAGAGACACAAAAAGAACAAACGGGTATCATGGAGAAGAAAAAGAAACTCGGACAAGGAAAAAGCAGAGGACACAAGCGTACGCTAAGACAAAGGGGAAGGCCGCACAGGTTCCCAGAACCCACAGAAACCAATAAAACGATCCCAGATAATAAACCGGAGGCCCAGAGGGTTTTTTTTTTTTTTCTCAAGATTTCTCCATAGGACAACGTTAAGGACAAGGTTTGCTGTGCAAAGCCAGTTGGAACCAGGCAAGTCTGAGCCCCTGGGGCAAGCATGTTTTCACAGAACAGAGGCTGGGGTTCCCGGATGACCTCCCGGCCCCATAAGGGGCCAGCTAGTTGCCCACCCTTTGCTCCAGGCAGCACGCACACGCACACGCACCTGGCCTTCTCTAGCTTCAGCTTTTCCCACTTGAGCTGCTGATACACCACCGGCACCCTCATCGTGTTCCGAAGCTGCCGGCGACTGGGGTTGTAAGGGTACCTCCGGTAGGTCCAGGTCTTGTCCTGTTTGGCGTTCCTACTCATTATCAGACGCATCAGTTTTGTGTTGGAAGGGAGTGGCGACGCTGTGTGGCGACAGGGAAGGGTCCGTCAGCTTCTGCTGCCTCCTCTCGCTTTCCCATCAATACCTGCCCTCAGCCCTGAGCGCGGCGCTGGCAAGTGTCCCACCCTGCCCACCCCACACCCGGAGACTGGACGCCAGAGGCCGCAGTACACCCAGTGCTTCTATTTCATCTACTCAGACACGGGAGATAAACCGGAAGGAGGCGGACATTACCTTTATTTTTGAGTTGGGCCTCCAAGTTATTGATGGCGTCATGGGCATTAAGGAATCTGAATGGAAACTGCCGACTGTGGATCACTGATTTCTGGGAAGCAAGAGAAGGGGTCCTGAGCAAAGTATCAGGGAGTGTGGGGGTGGGGTGGTCAGGGGCCTCGGGGACCAGGAATAGGAGACAACCGCTGCAGGATGCAAACGGGTGCAGCCGCTCTGGAAAAGCATGCGGAAGGGTCCTCAAAAGAGTTAAACGTAGAGCTGCCCTACGCCCCCGCAGCTGCACTGCTGGGGATTTACCCCAAAGGTACAGATGCAGGGAAACGCCAAACCATGAGCCACTCCTACCTCTGGGAAACGAACAAGGGGTCGTGGAAGGGGAGGCGGGTGGGGGGGACGGGGTGAGAGGGTGACAAGCACTGAGGGGGGCACTTGGCGGGATAAGCACTGGGGGATAGGCTAAATGTTGGCAAATTGAATTTAAATTAAAAAAAAAAAAAGAGGGCAGCCCCGGTGGCGCAGCAGTTTAGCGCCATCTTCAGTCCAGTGTGTGATCCTGGAGACCCAGGATCGAGTCCCACGTCGGGCTCCCTGCATGGAGCCTGCTTCTCCCACTGCCTGTGTCTCTGCCTCTCAGTCTCTCTCTCTTTCTGAATAAAATAAATAAATCTTTAAAAAAACAAAAAATAAATTTAAAAAAAGGAGACAACCACTGCATTAGATTTACAGGACACTGAGGAAGAATAAAATGGGTAGTAGAAAAGGGCTATAGAGAGGAGTAGAGAAGAATCGAGAAAAGCTGGCAGGTGAGGATACGAGAGGAGGTAAAGAAGGGAGAGGACGCAGGGAAGGGGCTTCCTGTCTTGTCTCGGCCTCCTCTGAAGTCAGCTGCATCACAAAAGTGCCTCTTCTTGATCAGTAGGTGACCCAGGGAAGTCCCTGTACTCGGTGTTTGAGGGCTGTCACCCAGACCCGTCTCCCGTGGCCTACCACGTCCCCCCCCACCCCATGCCTACCACATCCCCCCAACCCCGTGGCCTACCACGACCCCCCCACCCCGTGGCCTACCACGTTCCCGTCCCTCTCCCCCCATTTACAGCCAACGTGGCCCAGCTGGGCAGCCCGGGCCCACGCATACCTCCTGCTGCAGCGTCTGGAGGGTGAGCTCGTGGTGCCGGGCGCTGACTCCAACCCGCAGCAAGTTGCACAGGTTCCGAAGCAGGGCCATGAAGGGAAGCTTCCCGTGGTCTGTGGAAGGCCCGCCGCAGGGCCAGAGGGCAGACAAGGGACGAGTGAGAGGTCGCAGGGCCTCGGGGGACATCGGGGTGCAGGGGAGGGGGGCCTAGCACAGGATCGCCCTGCTCAAAACGTCTTAGTGTCTGCAAACACGAAAACAGGACGGGCCCAAAGTGCGGAGTGAGAGTTATCCGACCCTGTTCGCAAGAACAACTCCTATCACTGCTCCGCCCGCTGGTCCCACCGCGACCCTGGGCGCGACCCCGGAAAAATGGGTCTTCTAACCGGGAGTAGCGACCTCCAAACACTGCAGACGGCAAGACGCCAAGTTTCCCAGCGTAAGTTCACTTCTTTATAAATGGTACACACGGAGCGCGACCACTGGTTAGTGTTCAAGGCACAACATACCCCCAAGATAAGGTTCACCTTTTACAACAGCCAATGTAAATCCGTATTTCACATCATCCTCCCGGTGAGTTTTTAAGTTTTCTGGCCAACTTCTTGTGAGATCTGATTAAATAGTCGTTATTTCTCACCGAGGTAGAGGTCAAAAGGACTTGCACTAAAGCTGACCTTTACCCCGTCACCTTCGTATTGTCCATTTTTGCTCTGTGGTATCGGTGGCGTCATAGCTGCTTCATAATAGTATCTTTACAGCCCTTGTCAACTTTCGACAGTTTCGGTAGGGCTAAATATTAATTCTAGATCCACTCTCCATTCAAGGATAAGTTTCGGTAAGTCCCTACGCAGAAGCCAAAAAAACGTGACGGGCTCTGCGGTGCCCTCAGCCCGGGGAACCCCGAAGCCTTCGACAAGCCTGAACCCTCGCGTGCGCCGTGTGGACCGAGGGGCACGGGGTGTAATCCATATGACGAACATTGGGAAAACACTTTCTTTCTTTTAAATAAGAGAAAACACAAGTAGGAGGCGTGATATTTTTCCTGGGTGTCCCCAGAGGTGCATTCGGGCCACTGCAGGGACAGGGCCTCCTGGCCCCAGCCCCACCCCGGCCCCAGCCCGGGCAGCATCAGCAGCCTCCGTCAAGACACTCGCAGTGCCTTTTTTTGAAGCTGATGTAAGTCTCATTTGGATTACAGCTAGAAGCTTTCAGCCTCTAGGAGTCCTGTGGTTCTCAAATCAGAATTCTGACTCACAAAAAAAAAAAAAAAAAAAAAAAAAGAATTCTGACTCACAAACTGTAATAGAAAAATTAAGTTGTATTCACCACGTACACGATGAGGGATGACTCACAAACTATTACATTCTCTGTCAACTCATAAATTGTTCTCAATTATTGCTACATCGGGAGGGTTTTCTGGATCACCTGGATATGAAGTTAAGTCCAAAAACATATTTATGATACTGGATAATAAATTGAACATTTGTCCTTTAGACTGAGAAGTTCATGGATTTCATCCCAAAATAACTGTTAATGAGTTTCTTTTTTTTAGAGATTTTATTTACTTATTCATGAGAGACACAGACAGAGAGAGAGAGGGGCAGAGACACAGGCAGAGGGAGAAGCAGGCTCCATGCAGGGAGCCCGAGGCGGGACTCGATCCCAGGACTCCAGGGTCACACCCTGGGCTGAAGGCAGATGCTCAACCACTGAGCCACCCAGGCATCCCTGGATATGAGTTATTAATGAGCCCTGTGGTCTCCAAAGCAAAGAGGGGTCTGTATATCTAATAACATTTTGTCTTATATTTTATTCTTATATTTATACTTTTATACACACTTTCAGATCTATATTCATAAAATTATATTTTATGTATTTCCTAAAGTACATAATTCATTAGCATGCATATAAAATCGTTTAAGGGACACCCGGGTGGCTCAGCGGTGGAGCGTCTGCCTTGGGCCCAGGGCGTGACCCTGGGGTCCTGGGATCGAGTCCTGCCTCGGGCTCCCTACGGGGAGCCTGCTTCTCCCTCTGCCTGGGTCTCTGCCTCTCTCTCTCTCTCTCTGTCTCTCATGAATAATTAAATAAAAATCTTTTAAAAATAAAATAATAAATAATTAATAATAAATAAATAAATTGATTGATTAATTTAAAATTGTTTAAATTATATATACATACATTCTGGTATATTCCAAAACTGTTTTTGCAAGATATGATCAAAAAACTCCAGAGACAACTGGATCAGACTATGAGCATTAGTCTTAGCCTCACATGACACAGTTTTTAATTTCAGGACCTGAGGGAGGAAGTGGAAATGACGCAAACCAGAACCATCTACGCATCCAGGCTGCTGCGTCCTGTTCCACCCAGAGTATCAAATGTCGGGCAAGCGGTTGTCAGGCACGGGCGTGTGCACGCGTGTGTTTTAATTCCCACGTGACCCTGATGCCTTCCCCCACAGCGACAACCACGCAGCGAGAGCAGTGAGCAGTGACAGGCACTGAGGGTTCGGGCTCCCCTGAGCACCATCCGTACATGAGAGCACACAGAGAAACAGATGAAAAAAAAAAAAAAAAAACAACTGGAGCTTCTGAAGCCCCGAAATACGAAGTCTCCAGAACTCAAGCAGTCGAAAGCTCTCCAGAAAGATGTTTTTCAACGTACGGAAGTTAACTTGAAATCTTCGGAGATGAAAGGAAACATTAAAAAACAATAGCAAGAAGCTTCTACAGGTAACAATAAAGTAACCAGAACAAAAAGAGATGAGCGGGAGACTGAAATACCTTGGCCCTTCCGATTTCGGCCTTTCCCTCTCTCACTGTGGGCAAGTCACCGCCAACATCCATGCCCTAAACGTGGGCCCCTGTGCCAGGCCTCCCTTGCCAGGATGACATCCCCTCACCAGGATGACGTCCCCCCCAACCCCAAGAACAGTGAGATCCGAAGGTGGCACAGCCCCGTGCGCCACCCACTCTGCAGTAACGCCCGCCCCGAGATGCAGGGCCACCCAAAGCAGGTGCCGCAGGTGCCCCACGGGCCCGCTGGGCGTGGTCACCGGCCAAGCCCCTCAGTCCAGCCCCAACAGGCAGGACCGGGACCATATCGGGCCACAGAAATTACGTCCAGGCCCCAAGCACAGAGGCGTGAGTGGGGAAGTGAGGAGGGGACTGTGAGGCCGAGGCCACTCACCGATGAGCTCCTCCCACACAGCAGCTCTGTTCCCCCGCAGGCTGACCTCCCGCTCCCAGGTCTCTGGCCGCAGCAGCTTCATCCGCTTCCCGGCTCTGCTGGGGTCCCACGGCCCAGGGAGGCGACTTCGAGAAAACCTCTGTAGGTCGGAGGGGTATCTGGGACAGAGGAGGAAAAGCTCCCGTCTCAATGCCCGCTCAGAATAATGCGGAAAGCAAAGGTCGAAGCCGGCCGGTTGCACCTGCGACTCCTGCTACTGGGCCCATGCACAGGCGCCAGCCGTGGAAGTGGGGGTCCCCGGGGCCGGGCGGGGATCCATCGGGGCACGTCTCCTACCTGTAGCCCAGCAGGGCCTGGACGTGCTGAGCAGGCTCCCGGATGTGCAGTCGCTGCACCAACTTCTTCAGGGTGAGCCTCGGCCGCTGCTTTCTCTCTGGCACCGCGTTGTAGGTGTCCTCAAACTGTGGAGACACCCCAAGTCCATGGGGGCCGTTTAATCTACGGCCACAGCCGCTGGCCTCAGCAAGAGAGCCACAGGCCTCCTCTGCCCGGGGCCTGACTTTTCCCCCAACAGCAGATCTAAGCAGACAGGGGACAGGGGCACAGGGGCTCCGGCACCAGGAGCTCCGCGGTGAGCACAGGGAAGCACTCCGGGCCACTGCCTGTATTCACAGGAGATTGAACCACGCAGAGTTGATGCAGGATGACTGGCTCGTGAAAAGCAAGACGGGGGTGGAAGGGCCAGAGAACATTCTAGAGGGATGGAATGGAAAAGGCAGCCTTTACTTAAATCGGAGAAATGGAGGAGGAGGTAAACGGAGGAAGCCGCATAGCCCAAGCTGTGACGACTGCAAACACCAAAAGAAGTCAGCTTTCAGAATCTTCTATGGGGCAAGAGCTAAGGTCAGCAGGCGTTATTAGGGTGAAGAGGTCGGTTGACCAACTGAGGATATGTTCTCCTGTTAACATCACCACATCATTTTCCGGGGAATCTATCTTAATGGTGATGATGATGATGATAGGTAACGCTTCCTCGGCCCCACAGACGTTAGAAACACTTTAAATTCAGTGACTGATTTAATCCTCACAAAAACCCCATGAGGCGCTGCTACTATTCCCATTGCATATCTGAGGAACATGAGGTCAGACAGGGGAAGTTGTCGATTCAAACCCAGTCGAAATCCCGACTACACCCTTAACCACCAAGTGCGCGGGCCTCATTATTTGTCACGAATGCAGAAAGGTCTGGTGTGTTTTAAGAACTTCGTCTGAAAGGTAGACATTTCATACATTATTTATTTATTGAGAGAAAGAGAGAGTGTACAGGGGCGGGGCGGCAGGGGGAGAGGGAGAGAGAGAGAACCTCGAGCGACTCCTTGCTGAGTGAGGAGCCCAACTTGGGGCTCCATCCCATGACCTTGAGATCATGACCTGAGCCGAAATCGAGGGCTGGATGCTTAACTGACTGAGCGACCCAGGTGCCCCTGGTTCCAGCTGGACACGCCGGTGGTCAGGAGATAGGATGGGGAGCCAGATGGGAGATAAAAGGAGCCTTTCCCAGGGCTCTCAAAAACCTGACCCTAGAATCAAAACTGAAAATTCCCCAGGTGGGTAACCGGCACGTGTCCACCTCGCCATTCGTATTTCCCAACCAAATGGAACCCATTCCTAAATATTAGCTGAGGAAAGGTTTTCCGTGTGCATACAGAAGCCCCAAATAGGCACTCACCTTCTTCTGTTCATCCGTAAGAACCCTAAGGTAGCTTGGCAAGTGTTTTTGGGTCTCAGAAAACGGGCGCCCCGTCTTCTGTAAGGACAGGAGACACGGTTTCAAGATGGGAAACGGCCCTGGCCCCTGGGGAGGTCCACCCCGATAGCTCCTAAAGGCCACCTCTGCCAAAACGGACGCCGGTCCAGGAAGAGGTAGGCCTTGCCCTCTGACCCCGAGCTCTGCTCGGCTCCCCGCCCCCCTCTAACTCCTTGCATTTCTGGTGGTAGGAACATGTCAGGGGCGCAGCACGGGACGCCCCCTCCCCGGGGCAACAGGGCTTGGGCTGTGCATGACCAGGTGGCGCAGGGACTGACGGGAGGGCGGGGAGGCGGGCGGGGACGCCTCTTGGCCCGGTGCTTCCAAAGGTTGTACTTAGCCAGCTGGTACTCATCAAACTGGGCAAATTTGTCCGTCAGAGCAGCTCGCAGGCAGGCAGGCAGGGGCACTGGCTTGTCCTCCTCTCGCCCAGCCAGCTCCTGTCAGACAGGGAGGAGGGCCCATCGGGACGGAGTCCCTCGTCACAGGCCTGAACGAGAGGACGGGAGGCAGCCCGTATCCCCGGCTCTAAAGCGATCAATTCGAGGGAGGGGCAAGATGGCTGAATGAGCAGGGTCCTCAAATCACCTTCCCCACCAATACCTAGATAACCATCAAATCATCTGAAAAACTACGAATTCGCTGAGATGGTAAAGAAGAGACCAGCTGGAACGCTACAGGAGAAGAGTTCACGCTTGCTATCAATTGTAGTAAGAACGGTGAAAAAGAAAATAAAGGAACAAAAGGCCTCCGAGTGGGGAAGGGGCCCCGCGAGGATCCGGGCTAGCCGGGGCGAGTGTCCCCAGGACGGGATAGCCCGTCCCCGGATGAGCAGGAGCTGCACAACCTCCCATGCGGGCGAAAGGGCTCGCAGGGGAGTTGAGTCAGGACCCAGGAGGCGGGGATGCCCATCAGGGCTCCGGGGACAATAACAGACACTGCGAGCGCAGGAGAATGCTCCGAGCTCCCTAAGGGCTGCAGCGCGCACTGAGGACCGACCGGAGAGCTCGAGGGGCTCTGGGCGGCGGCTCCGCGGAGGGGGCTGCGGGGCTACCGTGAAAAATCCCCCACAGCGCAGGCCCCGGAGCACAGGCGCCGGGACAACACCCAGGATACCGGCCTCCCCCGGGAAGGCAGAGCCGGAGGGCCCAGAACAGCGAGGACCATCCTGCCCCTAGCAGAGCAGACCAGCGCCCGCCCCGGACTCCATGCCCTGCGACGGAGAACCGAGAGCCCGAGCCCCGTAGTTCTGCGTGAGCTGAATCCAGGCTTCCAGAGATGCCATAGCAACAGCTGCTGTTCTCCTGGGGCCTGAGGGTCAACAACCCCCCGCAGACCCTCAGCATGCAGGGCAGAAGCAGCTCCCTCCAGTGCTAACCCACCTGAAAAATCAACGCAACAGGCCCCTCCCCCAAAACCAGCTAGAGGGGCCAGTGGATACTCCCCCCGTGGTCCCAATACAACTTGTTTCTGCCACTCTGCACTGAGCAAAATGACAGAAGGAAACCGTCAACTCAAAAGAAAGAATCAGAAACAGCCCTCTCTCCCACGAGAGCTTACAAAATCTGGATTACACTTCAAGTCAGAAAGCCATTTCAGAAGCACTCTTCTACAGCTACTGATGCTCTAGAAAAAAGCATTAAGGCCTCACGAGACTTCATTACTGCAGAATTTAGATCAAACAGGCAGAATAAAAATCAATTGAATGAGATGCAATCCAAACTAGAAGTCATAACGACGAGTGGTTTTACAGTGGAAGAACGAGTGAGAGACATAGAAGAACAAGTAATGGCAAAAGAGGGAAACTAGGAAAAAAAGAGATAAACAATTAAGGACCATGAAGACAGATTAAATGCAAATAAACGACAGCCTGAGCGAAAAAACCCTACGTTAATTGGGTTCCCGAGGGCGCCGAAAGTGACAGAGGCATATATGTAATTTAACAAAATCCTAGCTGAAAACTTTCCCAATGCTGGGAGGGAAACGGGCATTCAGATCAGGAAATAGAGAGAGCCCCCCTAAAATCAATAAAAACCGTTCAAGCACCTCGACATCTAATAGTGAAGCTTGCCAAATTCCAAAGATAAAGAGAAGTATACCTTAAAGCAGCAAGAGACAAGAAGTCCCGACTTTCAGGAGAATATTATGGGTAACTGCAACCCTTCACAGAGACGTGCAGCCAAAAGGGCTGGCAGGATATATTCAGGGTCCTAAATGATAAGAACATGCAAACCAAGAATACTTTATACCAGCAAGGACTCTCGATTCAAATGGAGGAGAGAATAATAGAGCTTCAAGACAGGCAGAACTTGAAAGAATATGACCTCCAAAACACTCAGGCAAGAAATTTTAAGGGGGTCTCTTAAAACTCCCCTTTAAGAAGAAGTCAAGTAACTCTGAACGTGAATGGCTTAAGGACCCCATTCAAAACGCAGAGTTTTTCAGACTGGATAAAAAACAGGACCATCTATGCTGTGTACAAGAGACTCATTTTAGAACAGAAGGAAACCTACAACCTGAAAATAAAAGGTTGGAAACCATTTACCATTCAGTAATGGTTCTCAAAATATACCCCTAAAAACTACAGAACACTTCTGAAAGAAAATGAGAAGACACAAAGGAGATGGAAAAATTATCCATGGCTCATGGAGTGGCAGAATTAATATGTGAAAAATGTCAATGTTACCCAGGGCAATTTACACGTTAATGCGAATCCCCATCAAAATACCAGAGACCTTCTTCAGAGACTTAAGAACAAATTATTTTAAATTTGTTGGAATCAGAAAAAACCCCAAACAGGTCCAGGGAATTTTTAAAAAAAAGAAGAACATTTCTGGGGCAACGCAATGCAGATTTCAGTTGTACTATCAAAGCAGTGTTCATCGAGGCAGTGTGGTACTGGCCACAAAACAGACACACTTTAGATCAATGGAACAGAACAGAGAACCCTAGAATGTAGACCCAGAACTTTATGCTCAACTAATTATGCGATAAAGGAGGAAAGACTATCCACAAGAAGAAAGACAGTCTCTTCATAAATGGTGCTGGGAAAATAGGACATCTCCACATGCAGAAGAATGAAACTGGACCACTCTCTTGCCCCATACAACAAAGATAAACTCAAAATAGATGGAAAGATCTAAATGTGAGACAAGATATCCATCAAAAATCCCAGAGGAGAACTCGAAACACCCTTGTTGAACTGCCACAGTAACAGGAGAAGGACAAACGGTTCTCATCATTTGGGACATATGAATAATAGCGAAAGGGAATATAAGGGAAGGGAGAAAAATGTGTGAGAATATATAGAAAGGGAGGACAGAACATAAAGACTTCTAACTCTGAAATGAACAGGGGTGGTGGAGGGGGAGGAGGGTGGGGGGGTGGGAGTGTAATGGGTGACGGCACTGGGGGTACACTGTGACGAGGATGGCACTGGGTGTTAATTCTTAGTTGGTAAATTGAACACCAATAAAAATTAATTTATAAAAAAAATACAAAAAAAAAAAAAATAATAAAAAAAAATAAAGCGATCATTTCTAGGATCCTGGGCCAGTCAACACACTTCCCCGTCCTCATCTCCTGCATCAAGAACACCAGGACGTCTCCCAAGCTGTGGGCCCTCGGCCACCACATTCCTGTCTCGGGCAGTGCGGTGCAGGGAGGAGCCCCCGTCGTCGGAAGCAAGGCTGAAGACCCCCGAGGGGAGGCGAACTGGCCCTGAACTTCGCCTGGGGGCGACAGCGCAGGAGGGGGAACGAGCGAGCACCCAAGCCCAGCGGAGCGGGACCCTACCTCGTACAGCGCGACCACCTGGAGCCAATCGGAAGGCAGCTGGACGATGGCACAGAAATAGCGTCGCAGGTAGGGGCGGCAAACGGGCAGCAAAGCAGCAATGGCCACCATCTTGTTGGCCACAGTCCGGAAGTTCAGCTGCTGCCTGGCGTACAGAGATGCCTGGGCACAGGGTGGGGAGAGCCCATCTCAGCCCCCGCACCACCCGCCCCGACCCAGGGCAGGGGCCCAGCCTGCACATCTCCCCAGGGCCCCTCGCACTGTCCTTAGACTAGAGCCCGGGGCTCCAGCCAGCACCCCGCACCCTTGCCTGCCTCGCAGCGCCCTCCTTCGGGGCTGCTCCTCACCTTCCAAGGCAAAACCAGGCACCTGGCTGACTAAACCACTGTGGACAGCAGCCTCACAGGAAGCACCATCCCCGCCCCCCCCACTGCGCCCCCACCCCTGCTTCAGAAGCATGCACTACCCACTGCTCCATCTGCATGCAAGTGATACTTGAAAGTGCTCTGCTTCCCCAATGGTATCAAGCCCCCCGAGAGCCAGACCCGAGCTGCAGGACATCTGTTGAAATCACACTCAAGGCCCAGCATCGCGTCCTTAGCCCGTGTACTCACCAAACAGGTGAGCCCTGGGCTATTCTCACCCCATCTCCCCTTGCACTGCTCCTCAGAGGGCCCCAGCCCTAGCTCCCCCAGGATCCCACTCCCTCCCCACTGCAGTGCCTCCTTCCCACCTTGGGATGGAGCTGGCCATCGTCCCCTCCCACACCACAGCCTCAGGCCTCAGTCCCCACCTCCCAGCTTCCCGCTCACTCGCCTTCACACCATGGTACCTTGAGGATGAACTCGGGCTCCAGGGGTGCCAGGTCTCTGCAGGCTTCAAAGAGGGGCCCCGAGGCCCCATCAGCAGCATATTCTGCGTCTACCTTCGATGTCAGCGTGGAGCACAGCAAGCTCATGAGAACCAGCTGAGAATTGGGAAACAGAGGAGAGAGGATGAAAGAGGCAATGAGGACCGTGATGCGCGCTCCATCCCCCTCCATCTGAGGAGCGGATCTGGCTCGGCCTTTGCTCACCACCCATGCCCATCCCTCCACCATCAGCAGCCTCACCCCAGCCCTGGGACTTTTACCTTCTTGTCCTTAAGGGCCTGGTCAGCAGGCTCAGGATGGGATTCAGAGTCCCCCGCGCTGAGCTTCAGGACAGGGCCCTCCACCTCTGTCTCCTCGCCCAAGCTCAGATTATAAAAAGGCATTTCAACCTCTACCCGTTCTGTCTCTGGCATTTTCTCTTCTGAAGAGGAATGATGACCCTGGGGATAGTGGCCGTTGTGAATCATATTGGTCTGAAAGGCGAAGGCAGATCCCAAGCCCAGGAAGAGTCTACATCTGCCTTCTGGCCCCGAAACCCTTCTGGTCGCCCCAGCATCCATCTCTCCGGGTGGCTGTGCTGACCCCTCCCTGTCACCCACACCACCTTTCCCAACTCGACCTCCTGATCCTTTGCTCAGACGCTTCGGGATCCTCCCCTGCTTTCACCTCCTATTGATGCCACAGCCTAGGAGCAGGGGCCCCTCACAACCCATGTCCTATAACGCTATTAAGGTTTCCTGGATTCAGAAAAGGGTCACGTCCCAGATCAGTCCTCCAGCAACCGTGAGCTGCCTGACTCCCGAGTCTCAGCTCCCCCATTCCCTACTACCTTCTAATAGTGCTATTAGAGGACTATGTGACAAAAAATATATATGCACACATGTGGCTTTTTGCAAATTATAAAACCCTAAATAAATGTAAGATGGCAAAAAAAAAAAAAAAAAAAAAAAAGGAAGACTGCTGAAGAAGACAGCCCGGGGTAAAGGGCAGCTCAGGAAGAGGCTAGGAAGACAGAAGGGACATAGACACGGAGGAGAGACTGGGCTCCAAAGGCTGGGAACCAGAGCATCAGCAGACGTGGGAAGAGTCAGGATGAGCGCCTGGAGCCATTACCAAAGCTGCTGTGGGGGCGCTCGCTGTGGCAGAGATGGGTCGCAAGGCCCTCGGAGAGGTCAGACAGCCCGAACCCTCGGAGAGGCGCTCGGCCCCCCAGCTCAGAGGCCTGGAGAGCACGCCGTCACCGATGCTCAGGCTCCGTAGATCAGCTTGCAGCGGGCCAGCTGTCTGGAGACTGTGGGCCAAGGGGCCAGCAGACACAGTACGCTTTAGACCGGGGAGCATGGCCAGGCACCGGTTCTCCAAGGAGAGGACGTCGGGGTGGGACACATGGCCCAGGGACTTCTCCAGGGTCTTCAGGTCCGGGAGCGTGGCCAGACACCGGTTCTCCAAGGAGAGGACATCGGGGTGGGACACATGCCCCCAGGGCCTCTCCAGGGTCTTCAGGTCCGGGAGCATGGCCAGGCACCGGTTCTCCAAGGAGAGGATGTCGGGATGGGACACATGGCCCCGAGGCTTCTCCATAGCTGGACCCCAAGCACTATATGCCTAGACGGAGAAAGAGACAGGTGATGAGCCCTTGGCTGCACTAGAGGGTAAGGGTGCTCACACTGGGCATCGGTCTTTCCCGTGGCCCCCTGGTAAGGCCTGTGACTTGCAGGCAAGGAACAACCAGTATTCCTTTTCCCAAGACTGGGTTCATCCTAAGGATGCATTCAGAAAACATCACACGGAGAGAATGCAGGGAGTATTCTGAGAGGAGTAGGGAAAAGAAAGACAGAAACTGCAGAGCAGAGAAATTTAAAAAAAAAAAAAAGTGCTGGAGATGAAGGGACATACCTCCTCATGAAGGGGTAAAGGCTTCTGGTGTGATCCCAACTAAGTAGAGGGGTCACACTTGTAATCTGGACTCTAGGCTCTTAGCTCTAGAGAAAGAAACACTCTGATCAAAATGTCCATATTCACCAACCTCGACTTCCTTGCCTCCTACTCACGGTTCAACCAACTATATGGGCGTTCCTCCAAGACTGCCCTCTTGCTTAACCAACCGAATTCCTCTTACTAGGAGATCGGACCCGTCTGGGCCCTCATCTCGCCTCATCCCTCAAGCAGAATATGACACTGCTGCTCGCTCGCTCCTTGAAACTCTCTTTCTCTTTGCTGCCTCGGTGCCACTGTCCTGATTTCCCCTTACCTGTCCGACCACCCCCTTCAGGAAGGCTCTTTCTCTGCCATCCTTTGAATGTTGAAGCTCTTAAGAACTCTCATCTGATCCTTCTATATACACTCACAGGTAGTCTCACCTGTCTCACCTGCTGTGTGGTTCCAAATAGCATTTCTGTGCTGGCAACTCGCACATTTATCCCTTAACCTAGATCTCATGTGAGCTTCTATCCATTTATCCATTTGCCTGTTGGACATCTCCACTTGGATGACTCCAAGGTACCCAAAACTCTAGACCCCAAATGTGTCATCTTTCCCCCACTCTTCCTCAACTCCATTCCCTCTCCTTTCCCTTCTCTGCTTATAGGGGTATGGAGTGGAACAGACTTGAGTTTGAATCCTGAGGGGATCCTGAATCTACTTGGGCTGGTTATGTAAACTCTGTGCCTCAGTTTCCTCATCTACAAAATTGAGATAAATGCCTACCTCACAGAATCGTTATGGGAATAAATAAAAACGTATTAAGCATTTAGAGCAGGGCCTGGTAACTAGCAAGGGTTCGATAAATGGAAGCTATTGCTATTTGTTATTATTACCATCCAGTAAGACACCAGATCCTATAGGTTCTACCCCTTCAATGTCTCTTGAACCTGTCCAGTTCTCTCTCCATCCTGCCTCCACCACCCTTGTCGAAGCCCTCGCATCCACGCGGCACACAGCACGTAGATCTGTCTAAAGGAACTCCCCGGTAGATACCCCAGCCGCCGCTTACTACCCCACCTTGTTTATTCTACCATGATAAAAAAGAATTGTGTTTGCTTACTTGCCGCCTCGCTCACTGTTTCTCCTTCCTGAAATAAAGCTCGCTGAGGTCAGGGAGCTTCTCTGACTGGGTCACTTTTTTTTTAAGATTTTTTATTTATTTATTCATGAGAGACACAGAGAGAGGCAGAGACACAGGCAGAGGGAGAAGCAGGCTCCCTGCAGGGACCCTGACGTGGGCCTCGATCCAGGGACCCCGAGGTCACGCCCGGAGCTGAAGGCGGACACCCACCTGCTGAGCCCCCCGCCCCCGGGCGCCCCTTGACTTTGGGTCTTCACACAGACGGAGGCCTAAAACACTCTTCCTTCCACCTGGACCCCCCAGCCCCCACCTCGCCAGTCCAAATTCTATCCTGTCACTCCGCAAGCCGCAGTTGGACAGTTCCTCCGAGGACCTAGGCTGACTTACGCCGCGGTCCCTAAGTTCTCAGGACGACGCCACCCTCCTCTATCACTTTGGTCATATTGTAACTGCCTCTTTGTCCTCCCCCCACACCAAACTGTATGCTCCTGAGGACAGAGGCTCTTCCTGCCATGGTCACCATAGTTGCCACAATGCCTAGTTGGGGGGATTTAGGGGCTTTTGAGAATCTGGAGAGAGCTGTGTGGCTTTCTGAGTGTATACCATGTTGCACTCAGTTTCCCCAGAGTCCACGCCTGGATCTCCTGGGCTCCCTACAAACTGCAAACTAAGAGGCTCTGCCGGAGAAGGTGCTTAAATCGACATCATTAGGAGTGCACTTACTTGCTTATTTGGACAAGTGCTTGGCTCCTATTTCTGTTTAAGTATTTTAGGAACAACCATGTTGGTAAGTCAGTCATCTAGTGTGTAGTGGTACCCAGGAGACTGGGGACGGGGACACAGAATGCTTCCAGAGGACAACCCAGGACGAGAAAAGACGGTATTGCACAGACAGCAGGGCTTCGGTGTGAACAAGTCGCATCCACAATGACAGCCTCTGCGCCCTGCCCGTGTCCCTCTGTCCTGGCAAGTTAGAACCCCCCGGGAAGGGAAAGGAGCGGGAGATCTCAGAACTGACTCAGGGTCTATGGAAACACATCAAGACAGAAAGCCTTACAACAAAAACTAAGGTAACAGGGCGTCTGTGCGGCCCAGACTATGGAGCATCTGCCTTTGGCTCAGGTCGTGATCCCAGGGTCCTGAGATCAGGCCGCATTGCAGTCCCTGCTTCCCCCTCCCTGCTGGGCTTTCTCTGGGTCGAATGAATCAATAAAGTCTTTAAAAACTAAACCTAAGTTAACAAAAATACAGTGAAGTGTTCCTGGCAGCCTGGAGCTTGTGAAGACGTTCGGCTGCACCACAATTGAAAAGGAAACATCCGGGATCCCTGGGTGGCGCAGCGGCTTGGCGCCTGCCTTTGGCCAGGGCCCTGGAGACCAGGATCGAATCCCACATGGGGCTCCCGGTGCATGGAGCCTGCTACTCCCTCTGCCTGTGTCTCTGCGCCTCTCTCTCTCTCTCTCTTTCTCTCTCTCTGTGACTATCATAAATAAATAAAAATTAAAAAAAAAAAAGAAAAGGAAACATCCAGGCTCCAGGTCCCTCCTCTGGGGACAACCAGCGCCCACAGGTCTACGGAACAGGTCCCCGACATTCCCGACCGGCGTTCACACACGCCTCCCTGCTGCATTGCACAGAGGAGCAGGCTTCACACGGTGCTCCCTCCCGGACCCCCAGGGCGCCCCCTGCACCCAGGTCAGCGGTGGCCGCCACCCCCCCAGGGCGCCCCTGCACCCCCCAGCTCACGGGCGCCCCCTGCACCCCCCAGCTCAGCGGTGGCCGCCCCCTCCCCAGGGCGCCGGGAGCCGCGGCCGCCTCCCTCCCGCGGTCTCTCCGCGGGGCTCGCTCCCTCCCTCCCTCCCTCCCCCCTGCCCCCCCCAGGCCCGGGACGCTCCTCCTTCCGGGGCCGCCGCACCCGCGACTCTCGGCGTCCGAAGCGGCCGCGCTCCGCCCTCCCCGACTCCCCGTGCCGAGCGCAGCCCCTGGGGGGGACCCGGGGGCGGGGGACCAGGGCCAGCCGCCCTACCTGCAGCCGGAGTCCCCCGGGGGTCCCCGGAGCCAGCGGAGACTCGGGCCGCAGCCGCGGGACGTCCGGGCGCTCCAGGCCGGAAGCGGGAGCTGCGTCGACTCCGCCCGGGGGAGAGTGGAGGCCGGAGCCGGGGCGGGCGGGGCGGGCAGGGGGAAGGGGGGGCAGGGCAGGGTGTGGGGAGGGGGAGAGGGCGGGGGGAGGGAAGGAGGGGGTCAGGTAGGGCGGGGTGCGGAGAGGGGGGTCAGGGAGGGCAGGGTGTGGGGAGGGGCGGGGTGTGGGGAGGGGAGCGGGGAGGAGGAGGAGCGGGGAGGGGAGCGGGGAGGACGGAGAGCGGGGAGGAGGAGGAGCGGGGAGGACGGAGAGCGGGGAGGAGGGGGAGCCGGGAGGACGGAGAGCGGGGAGGAGGGGGAGCGGGGAGGGGAGATCGCGGAGGGGACCCGAGTGCCGTCCCGCCTCCCCCCTGCGGCAAGCTCTCCGCCCCCGACCCCGAGGCATCCCAGCTCGTCGGGCTCCTAACTGGTCCGAAGGGACTCGGTGACCGTGGGAACCGCAGGGGAGGGAGCAGGTGTAGACCCGGCGTAATGAAGGCCGAGGGCGCTGGGCGGACGCCGGTGGGTCCGGGAGCGAGTGTGTCCGTCGGGACGTCCCGAAAGGCTGAGCAGAACGTGTCCCAGGAGGTGGGACCAGGCTCCAGAAGGACACGGGCGACCCCGGGACAGGGGTGCTGGGGCCATTTCATAGAGCGCAGAGCAAAACGGAGAGCAGCGGGCGAAATCCGCGTCTCTGTCTTCTAGAAAATACCCCGCGCCTTAGAGAGGCCCCCTTCCTTCCCAGGTAAGCACAGAAGCTTCAGCTCCGACTTTTTCTTATTATTATTATTATTTAATCCAGTTAATTAACATATAATATATTCTTAGTTTCAGAGGCAGAGGTCAGTGATTCATGAGCCTTGCACACCCCCCCCAGTGCTCCGGCCTCCCTGGTGACCCCATCCCTCACCCCCTTCCCTCCACATCCCTCAGGCTGGTCCTAGGATTAAGGGTCTCATGGTTTGTCTCCCTCTCTGATGTCATCTTGTTTTTATTTTTCCCTCCCTTCCTCTAGGCTCCTCTGTTTTGTTACTAAAATTCCACACATGAGTGAGATCCTGTCTTTCTCTGATTGACCTATTTTGCTCAGCATAATACCCTCTAGTTCCATCCACGTCATTCCAAATGGCAAGATTTCTTTTTTGTTTGTTTGTTTGTTTGTTTTTGATAGCTGAATAGCAGCCCATTCTTTATCTTCTTCTTTATCCATTCTTCTCTCAGTGGATATCTGGGCTCTTTCCACAGTTTGGCTTCTGTGGACATTGCTGTTACAAACATTGGGGTGCAGGTGCCCCTTGAGATCACTACATTTGTATCTTTGGGGTAATTGCTGGGTCATAGGGAAGCTCTATTTTCAACTTTTGGAGGAACCTCCATACTGTTTTCCAGACTGACAGGAGCATCCTATCTTCTCAAATTATTGAGCCAGATTCCAGTGTCTTCGGTAGTTTCCTTGCTTACCTGCCTTAACAGTCCCAACACCCCCTTCTTATAATGAATATTTTCAGCCCCTTTATAACCCTGAACTATAATATATAAATAATGCATTTATTTATATTATATTTATTTATATATTTTTATATTTATTTTTTTACCTACACACACAATTTAAAAACTTATAAAATGTCTTTGAGATATAAAAAATAGAAAGAAGATGATTTATTATAAAACACTACGTGTTTATATATGTAGATACTTGGGCACAACATTCAAGAAGCCAATACAGGACTCAGATGCCCGTGGCTCAGTATAGAATCACCTTGACTGTAACAGCTACTCTCAGCCTCCACCCCGGACCTATGAATCACAAACTATAATTTAACAAGATTCCCAGATTATTCCCTCTCACATTAAACTCTGAGAAGCTCTAATCTTGACAGGTGGAATGGGCCCTGGAGTCTTCATTTCCCTGGTGGCCAGGCCTGGGAATTGGTGATCTTATTTTTCTCATTTCCCAGTTCTTAGAGACCACTCAGTTTCTTCTTCTCAGCTTACATCCCCAACTGCCGGTCAATGGCATTGAGCTGCAGCGTCTAAGTGACGATCTCTCCCAGGGTGAAGGAGTGCCAGCCTCTCAGCCTTAGAAGCGCCTTTAGTAAGGGCCCAGCACCTATGACAGCTGTTCATCTCTTCTTGTCCGTCTTGTCCATCTTCTTGCACACTTCTTGTCCTCCCCCATTTTGATTTGACAAACACCTGTTCACTATAATATTATATGTCAGCTACACTGCAATGAAAAATGGTTAAATCCGTTAAGCATCTACCAAATGCAAATGACAGCTTGTAAAACGTATAAAACCCGCATTCTTCTCAACACACATTTATGATCTCATGAAGGGGACAGACACATGCGGAAAGTTGCAAAAATAATACGTGGATTATGAGAAATGCTATATTCCACTAGGAAACAAACCAGAGGGTTATGTGGAGAAGGGACTTTGATAACTTCCTGAAGGGACAGGACTTTGAACCGGGAAGGGCAAGCCTCCTCTGATATGGAGCTGAGGGGAGTGAGAGCCTTGGGAGTATAAAGGCCACTGGTTTCAATGGATTTGTTCTCCTTTGTGAATAATTACCTTTGGGTTTATAGCTCGTGTTTTTATAGTTCAGTGTAACTACTGCCAAATTCAAAACATCGTATGAGTTGCAGTACGTAGACCAGCACTTACCCAGTAGCGCCCGACATCCCAACGGAGGCCTTCCGGGCCACCTGAGAGCCACAGAAGCCCATCAGGGGGCTACAAGAACTTCAGGCCATTGGCCCTTCTGACGCCTCTGACTCAAAACAAGTGTGCATTTGGCCTCTGGCCTGTTGATATTTGCTGCCGCCTCTGCTCACCTTCCTTCAAGGATGTTCCCCACTGTAAGCCCTCGTCCTCTGCCCAGTCTCCCTTACCAGGTATAGCAGATTAAAGTAGACCACAAACTTTTTTCTCCTCCTGCCACTGAGAAATGGAGTCTGATTTTTCCCTTATTGAACCTGGGATGACCTGGTGACTTGCTTGACCAATATATGTTGCAGGGTATCGTTCTGGGACTTCTGGGGCTAGGTCAAAGGAACTTCACACCTTCCACCCAGGACTCTTGGAGTACTCCCTCTGGAGGCTGCCAGGTAAGTTCAGCTACCCTTCAACTACCCCACGGAAGAGGGGCCACATGCATGTGCTTCAGTGAACAATCTCAGCTGAGCTTAGTTTTCCAGCCAACCCCCCTCCCACCCCGCCCCCGCCAGGATGCCAAACACGTGAACCCAGCTGTCTTGGGAACTCCCGATCGGTGCCCTGACCAGCTGGATACAACCGAGTAACTTCATGTGAACATAGAGCAGAAAATTCATCTAGCTAAACACTGCCTGAATTTAAGTGAAACTAATGACACATAAAATCATGAGAAATATAGTAGAATAGTTATTGTTTTAAGTCACTAAGTTTTGAATACTTTGCATCATCAGAGCATTGGAAAACTCAGCCTGCAACATATAAGAGTTTATATCGGATTACATTGTAGTCAACTCACCCTCCTTAAACCTGTTAAATCATGGGAATCCCTGGGTGGCTCAGTGGTTGAGCGTCTGCCTCCAGCTCAGGGCATGGTCCTAGAGACTCAGGATCGAGTCCCACATTGGGCTCCCTGCATGGAGCCTGCTTCTCCCTCTGCCTCTCTCTCTCTGTGTCTTTCATGAATAAATGAATAAAATCTTTTTTTAAAAAAATCTTTTAGGGATCCCTGGGTGGCGCAGCGGTTTGGCGCCTGCCTTTGGCCCAGGGTGCGATCTTGGAGACCCGGGATCGAATCCCACGTCAGGCTCCAGGTGCATGGAGCCTGCTTCTCCCTCTGCCTGTGTCTCTGCCTCTCTCTCTCTCTCTCTGTGTGTGACTATCATAAATAAATAAAAATAAATAAAAAATAAAATAAAAAAATCTTTTAAATCACTTCCTAACACATTGACTTGTGCAATAGTTCCTTGTAGTGGACTTGCTCATCCTGGGAGGTAGATTAGCTGAAACAGATGCCAATCCACGTGGCTAGCTTCTCTGCCTAGACAAGGAGCTTCATATCTATGGGACTGATTACACTCTCTCATCATTCACCCAACAAATATTCATTCATTGATATCAAATTAATCAATATTGAAGCCAACCTCTGGGATGTACGCCATGAAGTCAGGTTTCCCTGATTGCTGTACGGCCCCAGGGTTACGGTCACCAAATACAGGGAGACACTGGTGTCTTCCCGAGTCAGCACTCCTTCCCACCCTTGTGCCCTGGTACCTGTCTGGTCATCGTAGTCGGGGAGTGGCCCTACTTCTCAGCCTACAGAGAGGTATCGGGAAGAGGTCTTGATGGAAGTCAATGAACAGATTCAATATATTGTTCCCGCGTGTTCTTCCACCTTTTGCATAAAAATATACTATCAACTTTCATAACATTTGGGGTCATTTGTTAAAGAGTATTAGTGCTAAATAATCTCTGCCGGCTAAAAACTCAGTGGACAGGTAACTTCAACACCTGCTTCCTGCGTCTTAGCAAACATGGGTTGAACAGACCACAAGTGGTCAGGGGCCGTTTGGGGTGGCCACGTTCTTAGACACTCAGCCCTGACAAAGACTTCCCCAGGTTCACTACAGGAGGTACTGTGGCCAAGGACTCTAGCCCTTAGCATGCATCCCATAGCAGTGCTTCTCGTGAGGGCCTGGGAAGAGGAGTCTGTGCTGTGGCTTGGTGATCCTGGACGCTCTAAACAGGGCCTGGACCATCCTGCCTGCAGCTCGCCAGCCGCATTTTAGCAGTTGGAGAAAAGCAGCTCTTATCATTTTCCTAACTCGTCACTAATTTCTCACTTGACAGCCCAAAAGGTTCAAACGACTTGCCCGGGTTAAAAGAACCGTCAGAGAAGGAGCTAGAACTAGACCACAAGTCCCTTGACTCCCAGTCCCCACCCTGGCCACAGTAGCATCTGCTCCCGTGGCCACATCTTTAGCATTACTGCCTACAGAAGGCCGCTGTTACAATGAACTGTTGCCCTGGAGGCCTTTTTCATAAACACATTAAAAGAGTATGTCAGCATCCATAAGTATTGAAGATGGGACCTGTCTAAGGAGTTCGGGCTTGGGATGCCCGGGGGGCTCAGCGGTTGAGCGCCTGCCTTCGGCTCAGGGCCTGATCCTGGGGTCCCGGGATCAAGTCCTGTATCGGGCTCCCCGCGTGGAGCCTGCTTCTCCCTCTGCCTCTCTCTCTGTGTGTGTCTCTCATGAGTAAATAAATAAAATTTTAAAAATAAACAAATAAATAAAGAGTTCAGACTATGTCAAAAAAGTAGTCATACTGAAAACATGATCAGGACACCTGGTCTCACATAGGACTGGAGTGTTTCTTCTGGGTGGACAGGGCATTTCAAAGTAAACTTTGGATGTCAAAATAGTGGACTTGGGGACTCTTCTAATGGCTGGTAGGAATAATGAAACAAAACATGGAAATTAGGAAAGCCCCTGGAGGATGGAGTCCTTGGCCACTGTGTTAATCTAAGATGGGGATGGAGATGCTTAGAACGGTACCTAAATGTGCACGCTGGAGTCCAGCAGATCTGTGGCTAAACTCTGCTCTGTTGTTAATGAGCCGAGGGACCTAGACTGCAGAAGAAAATAAGGTAAATAGTCTCATAGACCTGAATAAGGCAAGAGACTGGTCCTTGAGTCTGCAGCAAGACCAGATGATGCTGATAAGGTAAAGGGGCCTGTCAAGGTCCCCTGTTGGAAAAGCTTCACCTGGCGTATTGTACTCCTAACAACCCCCGGCTCAAGGCGACCTAGCAAATGAAACAACCTACTGGAAGGAAGAGCCCCTGAGCTTCTCTGAAACTCCCAACCAGTCTGTGCCATAGCTTACAGACCCCTTGGGACTGTCTCAGGCCTCCAATGCTATTTATGCCCAAGGAGACACGAGGGAGGCCAGAAAAAGACAAGTAGTTAGGACTTTCCTGCCTATAGACCTATACTGTGATGCTCGTCCAAGCCAACCTCTTGGTCCTTGTGTACGGATAGGTCACCTGGAAACTGCTCTCATAAAAAGCTTTCCTCTTCATTATCCAGGCTGTGCCACATGCCTTGGCTTCCTGCACTTTATAAAGAAGTGTTTGGGCAGCCCGGGGGGCTCAGCCGTTTGGCGCCGCCTTTGGCCCGGGGCCTGATCCTGGGGACCCGGGACCGAGTCCCACGTCGGGCTCCCTGCGTGGAGCCTGCTTCTCCCTCTGCCTGTGTCTCTGCCTCTCTCTCTCTCTCTCATGAATAAATAAATAAAATCTTTTTTTTAAAAAAAAAAAAAAAGGAGTGTTTGAATGACATGATCTCTAAAATCTCTTCATTCCAAGATTCTTCTTCACTTGACTCATCTTGTGATTCTGAACTACTGAAATAGAAATCTAACCGGTTTCTTGTCCCAGTGTTTTCACATTCCATGTATTTTGCTCTGGACACCTGCAAAGTTGGTAACAGAGAAGGTTTAAAATGGAAAAGAAAAAAAAAAAAAAGGAAGGTGAAAGTGACATGAAAATCCTAGTAGATACAAAACCAAGTATCCTTATTTGCCCACACAGAGTCTGGGCTGAAGGAGCAACAATGCCAGAAGAGTGGAAAACTGCACACATCTACCCATATTTCTTCAAGTGAAGAAGAAAGATAAGGGGAGAACAAACTCAAATGATTTCAATGCTTTGTGTCTAGGAAAAAGGGAAAATGATAGTGTTAAAAAAGCCTGTAGAGTCTGAAGTCATGATGATGGTACATCCAAGGAGACATGAGGGAGGCTAGAAAAAAAAAAAACTAGAACCCACATTAAGTTATTATGACTTTAGATGGAAGAGAGGAGAGCTTTCTCAAGAAGAACATAAAGCAAAAAAAAAAAAAAAAAAGCAATAAATAAATAAATAAATAGAAAGAAGAAGAACATAACGCAATGTAAAAGAAGAATATGAACAATCTAGAATGAGGCGCAGAAGACAAAGGACCCAGGTAGTCCAATGCGTTTACTGATACTAGACATTCCCTGCATGCCCAGTCCCACCCAGTTCCTGAGTCAGTCTTGAAACGATGGAAATGATGGAAGCAATAGCAGAAATTCCGCCCTCACCCACAAAGGAGGTTGAGGGAAGAGTGTGGAGGCAGCTAGCAGCGGAATATGTAAAACACCTTGGCTCATTATCTGAGGGGCCCAAGGTAAGAATCCTGGGCCTCCACCCACTCACCAACCCGTGGCCTGATCCCTGGATTGCCATGATTACGCACTCTGTGTGAGTGTTTTCCATCCCAATTGCTGACTCTCACCCTGCTTCCCTTCTGGAGTCGCAATATTACACTGAATCAATCACACACCACTTGGCTCGAGCCCCAGCCTGTTACTGGGCCTAGATCAGGTCTTTCTCACCAAAGGGTAGACCACTGACTAGTGTCCTCCTACAAATCCAAGGCCTCCTTCTCTCTTCTTACTCCATCTGCAATTCAAAAACTGAATAGTGAGGAGGGCCTGGTGGCTCAGTTGGTTGGATGTCCAACTCTTGAGCTGAGGGGCATAGGTTCACAGCCTGGATAGGGCTCCATGCTGAATGTGGAGTCTACATTTAAAAAAAAAAAAAAAGACCAAGCTAAATAAAATCTGGAGATTTCTGTAACCAGCCCTATCCACGTACTTTTGGACCCTTGGCTCTCAGCTCCACCTGGTATGGAGCCATGTCCGTTTGGACAATAGGTTCAGCTTTCTGCCGCCTCTCTAGGTTTTTTAAAATAGTTTTTTTAAAGTTCTTTATGTACTTATTTATTTAAGTATTCTCTACACCCAGCATGGAGCTTGAACTCACAACCCTGAGACCAAGAGTCACATGCTCCTCTGACCGAGCCAGCCGGGCGTCCCGTCTCCCACCTCTTTGGAGAAATAAGAGAAGGCTCAGAAGAGTGTCCTCTCCAGAACCAGGGGAGAAATATTTAGGGTAAGGGCCCAGTTTTCAAGCCAAGCCAGTCAATCCTGCAGAAAGATGGAGAATGAGGATGGCCTCGGGTTACTTGGTGAGAAGTCCATCCTAGTGACGATGCGGGGGGTGGTCAGTAGGGTGGCGGAGATAGGACCAAACTACAGGCACTTGCACGTGCTTTTTAAAATAGAGAAACTCAGGCAGGAATCGTTCAACAACGATGAAACCTTTATTTAGGCTGGTCTTGGCCTACAAACCACAAAGAGCACGTTCACAGAAGTTTATCCTGAAGACCCAAGCCTCATAGGTTCTCAGGACCCTCAATTTCCTTCTCTGGCTTCTTCACTCTGTCTTTCCTTTCCTCACATATATCCCACTTATCCCTCCTCATGCTCATCTAGGCTCCAAAACAGAGAGATGGGTAAAAAAGAACTTACTAATGAAATCTCAAAAAAAAAAGAAGAAGAAGAAGAAGAAGAAGACAGAAACCAAAGCCCGCCAAGCACCTCAGGCCAGGATGAAGAAAGGTCCAAGAGAGGCTCCTCTATCTCACCCTCAGGAGCATGAGAACCCTAATAAACTGTGATAATAGAAAAGTGACCTATACACATAACTGACCCTTCTCTGCCCTCAGCTGCTTGCTCAGGGGTCCGGCAGGAAGGACAGAGGGGAGCTGTGAATCAAGAGAAGACACAACTAGGTGAAAGCTGCCATCTTCAGAAAAGCTCCAGAGACGAGGGTGGGCCGGCAACAACAGCAGAAGGCCCTGAAGAACCCTCTGGAACACTGACCTCCCTTCTGCTAGAGAGACACAGGGCACTGTATGTCTCACTTGCTTCTCTTCTCTGACTGGTGACTTTCCAAGGAGTCTTCAAAATCCAACTCAAACTACAGCCATCCGGTAACGACCTCCCTAGCGGAGGCCTGGCAGGGGTTCCCCCTCCATCGTCTGGGCTGCCACAGCTCTACAAGCGAGGAGCGAGGTACGGGGAGGACCAGCTCAGTGTCCCCACTCCAAGGCCACTGCAAGCCTGCCTGCTGCTCAGGGCCTCCCCGGTCGGTGTCCTTCCTGCCTCGCTTAGTGCCTGGCACCTGGGAGGTGACCGACCACCGTGTCGGAGAAAGGAGAAGAGAAAAGAGGAAAAAGAAAAGGAAGGAAGAGCAGGGTGGAGGAAAGGAGAAAGGAAGCATCTGACTGAACTTTGCCTGGCCCAAAAAAAAAGGGAAATGGATTTAAAAACTCTAGAGGAAAGGGAAAGGAAGCAGGAAGCCCCTCCGGAGTCCTCTCAGCCTTTCC